GGTGTTTGCTGTCCCCTGTTCAAATTTTCGCCCCCTCTGTGTCTTTGAAGAACTTGCTGAGATATTTGTTGAAGCTTCTTCAGTTCCAAACGAAAAGAAAAAATATATATAGATATATTTTTTTCAGATATAGATCATTATAGATCTATATAAGTATATCGTTCAGTACTCTTGCAGTCAGTTTCCTCCGGTCTCTCTTAAGCGAGCTGCGACAAACTAGCCAGGCCACCCGCAAACTTGCCGGGGTCGCCCCAGGGCACCTGCCACCATGTTTCAGCAGTCACGCGTCAGTTTTCAGCAGTCATGCTAACGCAGTGCTGTTGCAGTCGCGTCGGTTCTGTACTCTTGCAGTCAGTTTCCTCCTCTCTCTCTTAAGCGAGCTTCGACAAACTCGCCGGGCCACCCGCAAACTTGCCGGAGTCGCCCCCAGAGGACCTGTCACCATGTTTCAGCAGTCGCGCGATCAGTTTTCAGCAGTCATCCTAATGCAGTGCTGCTGCAGTCGCGTCAGTTCTGTACTCTGGCGGTCAGTTCCCTCCAGTCTCTCTTCAGCGAGCCGTTACTCATCGCAAACATGTCGGAGAAACGAGCTATTGCGGGCTCCAAACATGCTGGCTTACCACAAACATGCCAGGCCGCCAGCAAGCACGCCGGCCTCGCCTTCGAACACCTGGCACCAAAACGCAAGAAGTCTGAATGCGACCGTCTGCAAAAAGAACACTGCCGACCTACAGCTTGGAACCAGAGGTTGCTTACAGGGATGTTCTCGATCAAACACGAAAAACCGGGGAAACCAAAGCCACATAAAGAAAGAGGGATGGCTGGATGTTGAATGAACGCGGGCTGCTGTGAGCCTGATGTAGAGCTGCAGCTTCGGAAATAATACTCCTTGCAGTAACGACTTATGAACCTAAAAGACTGCATCGGTTGTCAACGAAGAAGCCACCAATTTTACCGTCCATAGGCTATCCACAAACCAGCAACAAATCACCGATCCCTTAATTTACTCCCTCCCAAGCACCGCCGTTCCAGCCGGCACGACACCCACCTCGCTGTCGCGTTCGACTACGATGCACGGTCGCGACCAGCCACGCCGAGCCTTTCTGCACCAAGCTGCAGCCCTAAACCACCGCCGCTGCCAGCGCTGAGCGCTGCTCTGCGCTCGCTCCCGCCGTGTACGCGTCGGACAGACGCAGACATGGCCGTGGTTTCCAAATGCATTTGATCATCGCTAACCACACTAAACACTGATAACAAATAAGGTTGCAAACGGGGATGAGGCCATGGATCGTTTACCAACATGTTGGCTACCCATCACTGCCTCTCGTAACTCTGTACCCCTAGCTAACTTCTACTCATCCAACGTTGTTGCCTGGGTGAAAACACTTGAAACAACTAACCGTCTGCGGCGAACCGACTATGTGCTAGACCACTGCGATGGGTTGCGACCCAACAAGCAATAGCTGGGCCCTGATGAAGAAATTGGTTCACATCTACCTCTGGTTACAACAAAGGTTGCCAGCGTTGATGCTTGCTTCTCTCGCTTGCGCAAACTCAATGTGCAAGATGGCTCTCCCGACTTCGGTGTACGCCACGTACACCCGGGCTGTCAGCCCCCTTCGGATGAAGGATGCTGCCGGGACGCCCGAAGTCCCGGCCCCCGTCTTACACAGGGAACAACAACAGCAACGACGACCACGACAACAACGACAACAACAACAACAACAACAACAACAACGACGACGACGACGACAACGACAACAACGACAACAAACCACAACCACAACCACAACAACCACAACCACAACAACAACAGCAACAACAACAACAACAAAAAAAAAAACGCCGCCGACCACGACGACAACAACCACAGCAACAATAACAACAACAACAACAACAACAACCACAACAACAACAACAACAACAACAACAACAACAACAACAACAACAACAACAACAACAACAACAACAACAACTACAACAATTGACGGGTCTGCTTTGGCCGGCGCCCGGCTGTCAGGCGTAAGCCTCATAAATCCGGCCAGGGGCCCCCTGGCCGTGGCATTGCCGAAGGCGTTTCTCTCCTCTCCGTAGGAGAGAGGGGCCGCCGCCCCAGCCGCCGACCACCCGGTAGGGCCAAAAACCCCCGCGTTTTACGGTGCTTTGTGCTCTTCCAATTTTTTCCCATTTTTCGGATCTTGTGGCTCAAGATGGGTCAACATGGGCCAACATAGGCCGCAAGATGGGGCAACATAGCCCCAAGATGGGCCCACATAGCGCCCAAGATGGGCCAACATAGCGCCCAAGATGGGTCAAGATAGCCCCAAGATGGGCCATCATGGCTCCAAGATGGGCCAATAGCCCCAAGATGGGCCAACATAGCCCCAAGATGGGCCAACATCGCCCCAAGATGGGCCAACATCGCCCCAAGATGGGCCCACATAACCTCAAGCTGGGGCAACATAGCCCCCAAGATGGGCCAACATAGCCCCAAGATGGGCCCACATAGCCCCAAGATAGGCCGCCGACCATCAAAATATCCTGCGTTTTACAGTGTTTTTTTTGCTGTTCCCATTTTTCGGATCTTTTGGCTCAACATGGGTCAACATGAGGCCAACATAGGCCAACATAGCCACAAGATGGGCCCACATTGCCCGCAAGATAGGCCAACATACGCCAACATAGGCCAACATAGCCACACGATGGGCCTACATAGTTGGGCCCCTGGCCGGCTGTCGCGCGTAAGCGCTTAAATCCGGCCAGGGGCCCCCTGGCCGTGGCATAGCCGTACGGCGTTTCTCTCCTCTCCGTAGGAGAGAGGGGCCGCCGCCCCAGCCGCCGACCACTCCCCCCGCCAAAAACTGTCGCGTTTTACGGTGTTTTGTGCTCTTCCCACTTTTTCCCATTTTTCGGATCTTGTGGTTCAAGATGGGTCAACATGGGCCAACATAGGCCGCAAGATGGGCCAACATAGCCCCAAGATGGGCCAACCTAGCGCCCAAGATGGGCTAAGATAGCCCCAAGATGGGCCAACATAGCCCGAAGATGGGCCAACATAGCCCCAAGATGGGCCAACATAGCCCCAAGATGGGCCCACATTGCCTTCAAGATAGGCCAACGTAGCCCCAAGATGGGCCAACATAGCCCCAAGATAGGCCGCCGACCATCAAAATATCCTGCGTTTTACAGTGTTTTTTTTGCTGTTCCCATTTTTCGGATCTTTTGGCTCAACATGAATCAACATGAGGCCAACATAGCCACAAGATGGGCCCACATTGCCCGCAAGATAGGCCAACATAGGCCAACATAGGCCAGCATAGCCACAAAATGGGCCTACATAGTTGGGCCCCTGGCCGGCTGTCGCGCGTAAGCGCTTAAATTCCGGCGACGCCTCGCCGTGTAGTGTGGGGAAGCTAAGCATAGCTTTAGCTACCCGGGGGCGCGCCCCTGCCGCCGACCCTCCCCAAAAATCCTTTAGCCTGGTGGGGTTTTCACGTTTTTCGGGGTCTGGGGTGGACAAAAAGAGGGTAAAATTTGAAGATGCGTTTTGGAGGTCCCAAAAATCGGAAAAAAGTACCGTTTTGACACATTTTTCGGACAATTTTCACAAAATGCTGTAAATTACAACATTTTTGCGTTTTAACGTCGTTGGCGGGAGCCATGCAAAAACGCAGAAAATGCTGTAAATACCAGTACTTTTTGGACCCGAGATGCACAAAACACTGCAAATACCAGTGTTTTTGAAAGCCAAGCAAAAAAACATTGTAAATTACAGCATTTTTGGCGGGTTGATCGCAAAAAATGCTGGTATTTACAATGTTTCTGCAATTTCAAGCAAACGTGGAAGGCACGAAACACTGTAAATAGCGGTGTTTTGGCAACTTTTGGGCGCCGAAACGCTGGTATTTACGCAGTTTTTTGCTTGTGACGGGGCCACTCCCCTGTAAATTACAGCATTTTTTGCACTTTTTGAACCGATTTTTTGTCTTGATGAATGCAAAAAACGCTGGTATTTACACGTTTTTCAAAAAATCGAAGATCGTGATGTGAACGAAACTCGGGTTCTTACCATCTCACAGCACAAAATGCTGTAAATTACAACACTAGGCATAGGCCAACATAGCCTCAAGATGGGCCAACATAGCCCCAAGATGGGCCAACATAGCCCCAAGATAGGCCGCCGACCCTCAGCATGTCATGTTCGCAAGTTCAGATGACATCCCCCTCTCTCTTTCCCTCCCCCGACCCCTACCGGCGTCGCCGGTGTGCGAAGCTCTACAATATATATTCTTACCTGTTCCACCCTAAAGAAGGTAATTCAACAAGATGACTGTTATTAATCTTTTGTCATTTTTTGATGTTTTATTCTACCGGAACGGTTTTTAACGACCTCGAACGGTACTTTATGTATTTGGCCCCTTCTGGTATTAAAAAAAACGGCTACCGCCAAAGGTTGTTTTTTAAAAGTCTTTTTACGTAAAAAAAGTACATGAACTTAATTGAATGCAATGTGAACGTAATTTAAAGCAATCTGAATTCAACCTGAACGGTTTGGATTTCGGAGAACGGTTTCGAATGGGAAACAACGTACATGTTACAATCTTTAATGACCCTGAACGGTCCTGAACGGTTCAGTAGTGGTTTGCTGTGGTTTGTTTAAATATGCATATTTTCCCCAAAAAAATATTAGAGATTATAGCGGCTGTTATCGGCTGGGAGAATAGTTATTCTCCAGTACAACGATTATCAATAATTGGCTCCAAGAACAAAATATCGTTTGAAAGGTGTAATAGGTACTAGATAGATCGATAGATACGCACATATTGCGCATGTATATATGCGTGTTTATTCATGATACGTTGATGTACGTTGATTTCTTCAAGAATATGCAACATCCATCGATCCCATCTGATCCCATCTGATCCCATCTGATCCCATCTGATCCCATCTGCTTTAACGTGACAGGATTAAGTGACAGCTCCGGCTCTCCAAGCTCTCGCCTTCCAAATCTTCTGGCGGCTTGCTGAGATTGAATGAGCTTTCAGGCGCTGCCTTGCAACTGGACAGGTGGTTAGTGGTTCTAACGAAAGTGCTGAGAAACAATGTGAGAAGTGGATAGAAGTGGATTGATAGAAGTGAGTGGTATTTTGCCACGTGTCTACTATCACAGTACTGTACAAGTTTGAGTTCGGCGGATAAAATGTAATAAGTACGAATGCCGAGATAGTTCGCACCGCCTCATCACGCTCAGCTTGGGTCTGCTGCCTGGAAAAAACATAACAACATGGACCTTTTGAAAATTCTATGAAATTCCGTTCAATCGACATTCCCGCTGTATCCATTAGCTTCATTAGCTGTCGATGCTCATTGTTCGCCCAAGAACTGGCGCGACACCTCTGCGGCTCATCCAGCTCTTCAAGCCCCCACTCCTGCGAAGCCAGGTGCCCATGCAAGGGCCGATTCGGTGAGAGCGGCAAAGCAATGTAAATTGTGTTTCTATGTCGCGCTAGATGCGCTCGCGATTCAAGCAAAGGCAGTCCAAGGTTCTGAACATTCATGGCCTGGAGTGTCGCACTTAAAGATGCAGCTGACCTCGGCAACAAAATCAACAAACAGTGTCGCTGAAAATTGAATTTAGCCTCATATCTCACAGAAAGTGCCCAAAATCTGCACCAATCATCACACCATTGTTTGTCCATGTTTTTGCACTCACTTCTGACTTCGACAGATCAAAGAGATGTCAGCTGAGGCTGCATCTCTACGGAATTAAAAAGTGGTTTGCCGCATGCAAAAGCGCCGTCAAAAGCCTGGCCCAGTGGCAATGCAAAAACTTGCGGGTAATCACTGAGGCTGGGTGGATGCAGCCTACCAATGCTGAAACAGCATTTCAAGCCTAAGCGACTAGCCGACTAGCCATTTAGCTGACTAGCCTCTCTCTGCGTCTCTCTCTCTCTCTCTCTATCTCTCTCGCATTGCGGGAAGAATGCTTGAATTGCCACACATGTCCCTGAGATGGCTGGAAATGTTTGCAGCTCCTATTGCAGCATTGCCTTGTTGTCATGGTCCAATATGTTGATCGTGATTGATTTTGAGTCTGTTTTGATTTCAGGTTTCACTTTCTGAACCACTTCCAACGCCTCCAGAAATACTACCAAATTGTCGGGCGACCTGTGACAGCAACGGACCAAGTATTGACCCATCCCACCAACTGCAAAGCCACGATACGGTTTCGGTATTCTCAATGGCTTGCAACTGAGCTGATTTCCACCGAAGACTGCACTGTCTTTCAGCAAGCCTGACCCTGGTGGAGCCATTGTCCAACTCTGATTCTGTAGCCTCAACATGGTCGTTCATATCACCCACATCATCATCCATATCATCCATATCATCCATTGGACAATATTGGACATCATTGGACTGCAGACGTTCTAAATTCAAGAGATGGTGTGGGAAGTGACATGAAGTGACAACATCTTGTCCGGAAGTCTCACGTGTCTCTGCAAGGGTTGGTGTTGGCATAGTGGCTTAGGGCAAAAGAAAGCGGCATGTGCCTCGGACCCTGGGCCATGATCAGCCATGGATGACAAAGGATCGACAAAATGGTCACCAAAGAATGTTCACAGTGGCAGAATCCCACAGAATCCCTATATTGGTCACCTTCCTGACAGGTTGTTCCGACTTGCTGCGGGGTTTATTACATTATATGATATTACAAAATAAATATAAATATAATATAATATGATAGATCATATATTATATATGCGCAACGTCAATCCAATTGTTTCATGGGTTTGCCTTGGTGGATCGCATCTTGAGATGAGCCAGGCATCAGTGAAGCATGTGCCAGGCATCATTCACATGAAAGGCCACGGGCCAAGGCAAATTCAGATACACACTTGTGAGCTTTCTTGCAACACTGCGGGGAGAGTAATGCTGCTCAAATCCTGAACGAAACTAATCCAGTTCAACTTTAACTCTTGAGATACATAAAGCCCATTTGTCCGCGCATGTTTTGCTCTCTCTTCGTTTCTTCCCAAACCCCGGGCTGGATGAACTGCGAAATGTGCGATCAGAAGCCGGTCAGAAGCCCGCACTCTAAATCAAACCAGCTTCAGTCAAAGATTTGATGTGAAGGCAGTCAAAAATCCTCCCATCACTGCTCCAATAATCAGACAGACTACAATACAGCTCAGGCACGGATGCAAACATTCTTCAAGCGAATTTTCAAGGGATGCATGATACAACTGGCACCGATGCCGCTGTGCCAAAGCTGCTGAGATCTGCCGCGGCTGCCGAGACCGCGCTGGTCTGACTAGCCCTGTCTCTTAAATTTTTCAGGTGAAACGATGTGAAATGTGTTTTGCCAAATTTTGCCAAACTTCATTATCTTGCCAGTCACCTCAGTGCTGCAGTCTGACTACGATTCAACTAGAAAACCAAGTGTCTGGCCGGGAAATAGACAGATCTAGCGGTGCTGGCCACATCCTGAGTGCCCAGCTATGGCCACCTGATTTCGGACAGTTGCATCTGAAAATGTGATGTGAAAACACAAATTGAATTGAATAGAAACATGTGAAATGATGTCATGAGTCCAAGAGCCTAAAATATCCCAACCGACAGTGCTTAGATACACAGAGCCCAGGCATCCCTGAACCATCAGGCAACTCATCAAGCAGGTCACAGGGTCACGGTATCTCAAGCACATGGAACACAGAGTCATATAATGCAAGGTCATAGGATGTCATAGGCATAGCTGAAACATCAAGAAGCGCCCATCACCGACCCTCATGCCATTGGTCTGGACCGGTCTCTGCTTCAATCGCCACCATCGCCACCATCGCCGCCATCGCCATCAGCCTCAGCAGCCTTGTCCTGGATCCAAACTCACAGATTCTCCCAGTCTTTGGAAAATACTCTCCCGAAGGTCTGTCCTTATTTCTGCCTTGGCCGCGGTTCCTTCCACCTCTTTTTCTTGGACCCTTGCCTGAAGGCATCAAAAACATTGAACAGGTCTCGTCGGAACTAAACAATCCTATATAGATATTCTATGGATATAATACGTATATATATATAATAAAATATATCATTATCATGATTACTATTATAAAACTAATTATAATTACTATTTTATGATCTTATGATTATTGTTCCTATTATTGCTATTCTCTTTCTATTATTATTATCGTTATTATTATTATTATTGTTATTATTATTTATTATTATTATTACTATTACTATTATTATTATTATTATCATTATTAGTATTACTGCATTACTATATTATATATATACACACATAGGGAGGCACATGGTCAGGCGTGGTCAGGCACGGTCAGGCATGGTCATGGGGTGCCTTTGCCAGTGCCTTTGGCAATGCCTTTCGGGACCGGGGGCGGGGTCGCAGTGTTGGCTCCAATCGGAAGTTGGCCATCCGGTGACAGCTGCTGGGCCTTGTCCGAGCCAACAAGCCATCCACAAACACGGCAATGGACAACATCTCGAACGGCAAATTGAAAAGTCATTCACTGACATACAGTCTACATCAGTCTACTGCTCGTCTTTGCAACTCCAAGCCAAGCGCGGGTGAAGACAAAAACAGAAGACCGTGTCGATTTCAACTCCGGTGGCAAGCTAAGGAGTCAACATCGCCAGCGGATCTCGTGACCAAGCCCATCCCACGTGGAGCCTTGTTGTCACACCAGTCACAACAGAAAGCCGGTCCTCCCAAGAAAAATCATACAATATGATACAATAGTGATGTCTGAGACCCTTACATTTCGAGATGGTCTTTTGGCAGCCGCAGCGGCTTTCTCCTGCTGGCCCGTCATTTGCGAGCAGCTTCAAATATTTCATCAGGGCATGTTAGAGCTGCATAAGGCTACCAATCAAAAGAGATGAAAAGAGAGGGGGGAAATCGCTAGCCGCTAAAGGCGGAAAAAACTTAAACATTCTCAAACGGATTGAACTTACAAGAAATGCATGGAAATGCCATGTGCTTCCAAAAAACAATGATTTAAACAACCTATCTCACACCACTACACTCTTTCCAAACTTATCTACTTCATCCATCTTCATCCTACTTGCATTGCTTTTCCTGTTGCCCGTGCCATCACACAATGCCAACATGCAAGCTTGGGCAGCAATTGAACACTGGTCTGGGACAAATGGCAAGTGACACATCTCAAAGCCTCAGTTGACCTCTCCTCGGCTTCACGCCTTCTCTTTTCCTTTTCCTGTCGCATCCGCTCCCGCTCTTCACCTGAATACTGGTGCAAATCCATGCACATCCCACCAAATCCCACATCTTGATAGTTGATGATTGTTGATCATTGGATATCCTTGGGATTCCTTGGGTCTTGAATCGCTGTAACTCAAGGTGTCCCGCTAAGGTCACTAAGGCTTTCACGTTCAGCCTCACGTGCAGCAGCTGAGACGGCAGCTGCAGCTGCAGCACCGCCTGCCAGCGATCTTCGGAAGAATGGAAGAGGCAAGGTCGGCCTGGGAGCCAACCTTTGGAAAGCCAAGGGAAACAAAATAAAATGGAGATTCGCCGAAGCTCATATTGATTTACAGTAATGATCATTGACCGTTGGCACATTTGTTTGGACCTGATCGAGCAGCAGCGCGGCGACCAGCAGGAGTGGTTGGCATCTGGGCTGTGTGATTTGGAGTTGCTTGGGGATGTCACTTCTTGTACGTATGTTCTTGTTATGTTCATCGATTTGAGGGCCCAAGCCAGTTTGACTCCCTAACTTGAATCTACTTCTTGGAGAATGTGGCCAAGGTTCTTCTCTCAGTCCCTGCAAACCAAGTGCGCAACCGGAGCCCCAGAGGGAAGTGTCCTTGTCCTGACAAACCCAATGAAGATTAATAGACATGGACCCAGCCAGCCCAGCACACAATTCCGAAGCTTCGAACAAATTCATACAAAATCAGTCAAAGTTCAAGTTGAAACTGATAAAAGTGAAAGTCATTGCAGCCACTCGCCAGGGGCACCGCCACTCGTCATCCACAGCACCACTGTAAGTGTTGAAGGAGTAACTTGTGTAGCCACCGTTGTCGCCACCTCGGCTGCCACAGTTAGGTGACTGTTGGGGATTCGTCTAATGTCGTCTAGCTGCAGCACCTCCCAGTTTCACACAGTTTGACCCTGCCCCATAGTATCCATAGTGTACTTAGGGCCTTAGGGGTGAATCTAGGGATGGGGCTGGCCTCCGAATCACCTAGGTGGACCATCATCACTCGAACTTCTTGATGCATGTGCTGCATATGCCAGTGATGTTTGGGACCTTTTGCGACCCTCAGGTGCCGAACTGCTGCTGCCGTCAATTTGCGACCCTTGGCGACATACACCGGCTCAGTTTTTGGCAACTGCAATGCCAAATTCTGTTGTACTGGTCAGCATTGCAAGAGAGTAGTCATGCTGAGCCCCTTGCGCTCGAATGATTTGTACTTTGGCTGCGCCTGCTTGGAAGTGTTTCTGCTGAAATCCAATATTCCAACAGCACGTTGAGATCACAAGCAGAAGCACTGCAGCAAATGAACCCTGGGTCTCTGAATTCTGAGGACATAGCTTGCCCCATCCTCGAAAAACAAGCATCAAATGCATGAGAACAGAAACGGTGGGGCACAGCATAGCAGTCAGTGGGTTAAAGGCTTAAGGTGTCTGCATGTGTATATACATAGTCATAGAGACATAATTGCCGGATTTAATAATAAGTAGATTAATAAACAAATGTACATAGTATTATGTAGTATTATATATATTATATATATATCATATCACACACATCGCTTCGGCTCTGATTACACTGGGTGTTCGGCATGATAGCACCTTAAGAGGAGTCGTTGGCGGCGGGCGTTTGCATAGTATCACGTGGCACGGCCACAACTCACATGGAACATTTTTTGCAATAGCTGCAGACCGGATCCCACCAGTACTCTCTTGGCAATGCTCTTTTCTTGCATCTCTTTCCAAGCTACGTCTGCTTGCTAATTGGCTTCACAGTGCTTTTCTGGATCCACAGGAAGCACTCCCTCTCGATCAGTAGCATCTCTTCAACTTGCTGCTCAGCACTGCAGCGAAAGTTCTGCGAGATGCAGGTCTTCATATGGTTTTCATAGGTGACCACGTTGCCACGGTGCTGGTGACAGAGGGAAGGACTGCAAGTCGTCAAACTGAGAGAAACTCCTGCTGTCCGGCCAAAGTTACTCATCTTTCTGGGCAAAGCCCCACAAACTTTGCACTGCCATTCGAGATGCGCAAGTTGTCGTCAAAAAAATCATTGCCGCTAACGCATTGCATTCCATCACCTGAAGAAAAAAATCTCAGCAAGTAGGAGATGCGGTGAAAGTGTGACAGCAGGCGGGCAATCACTAGTCATTAGGGCCCCTGCCAGTGTGATAGATGACCAACAGCACAGACTGGGAGCAGAACTCCTCGCAGGGTCATGAGTGAGATCAAGCTCAATGCAAAGCAAAAAAAACTTGCCGTCTCAGCGTTCAGTCCTTCAGTCTTTGCTGCACAAGCTGCTTTGAAGCAGGATCCAAGGGGGCGAATGCTTCGTCGATCAAGACAACCTTCAAACATAAACAGCATCAGCATGTTAGTTAATGCTCCAAAATGCATTCGGTATGTTGCAAGCTTCCACGTGTATGGAGAAGTCCTATAGAGTTTGACACACCAATTTCTCAAAATGGTCACTTGCCAAAGTGATCAAAACAAAGTTGCCGCTTCCCTGATAAAAGTCCAATCATTATTAATGTTATTGTCGTGCTGATATTCTGCCACCGTCCCTATGAATGCTGGCCTTAGGGCAGCGTTCTTTGAGAAAAACCTGTCGCATCAATTCAGCTTTACTTCGCTGCCCTCCTGACAGCTCGCTATACCAATCCTGCAGTGGATTGCTGAGTTGAAACACACTGAACCACAGCACACGGTGCACACGATGCACAGGACCGGAATGAGTATAAAAAGAAATTAAAAGGTATCCTGTTCTGTGCATTTCACCCCCTAAATCTTTCAAAAATAGCTCTCGGATCACTTGATGGTGAGGCAATCCAATGTGCTGCATGGCCAAGTGTAACAACAACATCTTTCAAACCTCTGGGCAAGGATGACCTATAGCGTCTCTGACTAATGCGTCTCAGTGTCAGCGATCTCACTGTGCAACTTCTCTGTGGAAAGTGCACTTGACGAGGCATCTGCCTGTTCTGAATCTGCTGGTGTCTTCACTTGAAGGCGAAAAATGCTTCGGGAGTGATGAAAGGTGATAGAAGCACAATCCGCAAGTCATTACTGCAAAGAGAAGAATATAAAGACCAAATGAGCCTAATATAGAGGAAGTAAAGGAGAGAAAGCACTGTGGAGGAGTAAAGATGGCATGGGGCCAAGACAAAACTACGACCTTTCTGTTCGCATCTCAGCTTTTTGAACTGGCGACCCTACTGCTGCAATGGCCGTGCAAGCCATGTTGCATTCGCATGATCGAAGCGCAAAGCTGCTGAGAGATTTGCCTCAGCTGCTCCACAAGAATGAGATGGGCACTGAAATGTCTTCGATCAAAACATATCTATAGATATACGCTTTATGTATAGTATGCCATGTATAATATAATATTATATATATATAGTATTATTATATTAATATTATATTATAATTATATATACGCATCCGCGCAATGTCGTTTTGATGTTGGAGGATGTTTGGGGTGAGTCTCCTGAGATCCTGATCGGAGGCAACCAATAGGCAACCGGCAAGCGAGTTACTATGCGTTCCTCTGCCTCTTTCGTCTCTTTCACGTCGATATCTTCGATCTCTTTCGCTTCGTTCAGCAACCAAGCCAAAGGCTTTATGTAGAGTGGATGGTACGGCCTGGAAAATTATGACGGTGACACGGTGACAGCTGAACACTGATTCAGCTGATTCACACTGATGCAAGAAGAACATGAGATTCCATGAGTGAGAGTGGTAGAGCATGGTAGCGCTACCTCTGGGGTATTTCCACGATCTCCTCCGAAGGGAACACCTCGAAAGACCGATGGCAAACGAAACTTGCCAAGGACATCCAAGGGCTATAGATCTGTGTAGCAGGGTATGCACTTCGCAACTTGCATTCAAGAAACCACTGTGCCATGAGCCACCAGGCCAGCCGGCAATGGCATTGGCTGCCTGCATGCAGCAAGAATCGAGAACCTTGGTGGTCCAGAACAGCACTGCAGGGAGCGGGTGGAAGTAAAATGAAGTAAAAAATGCAATCAGCATCATGCGGGAACTGTTGCATGTCAAAGTATGTCAAAGCCAAGTCACAAGGTGCTCTTGCCTTAGAGTCAAAAAATCACCAGCAAGTTTATACGCTGCTTGCATCGGCAAACGTTCAGGTACCCATGAAGAAACTCGAACACTGAAGCTGAGGCCCCAAGCACAGGTATTTTGTATGAGCATGTGCATGTGCGTGTGTATGTGTTGCACCAGTTTAGAAAGTCTATGGCATTGCATATTGTATGAAAATATATAGAATATCAAAAGTGTATGCATGTTGGGGTTGCCTGCATGCCACTGTCCAAGCCCAGTTGCCACATCCATTTGGGCCAGTGATTGCATATGCACGCCCGAGCTCCAAGTTTAAATCTCCAAAGTGCATGTGCAAAGTCCCCCAGTCGTATGAAAAGTTCTGAAAGTGAAGTGCACCTCAGGAGGGCAGTGGCACTTACCACACTTACCTTTCCACCTCTTCCAAACTCGAGAGTCTGGTGGCATCCTGTTTCAATACCTCAAGCGTCCGCTCTGGCATACAAATTAAGTATAATGAAATGCTTTTCTACTTTTCTACAAGTATCACGGATCATCTAATCCACCAAATTTGGACAAGTTCTGTTGCAGTATTTGCAGGACCTCCGGCGGTTTGTTCACCACTGCAGGCCTCCACCGAGCTCTCTCTGGCAGTGTGAGTGCGTTTCCAACCTCGATATGGAGGCTTCCATGGAGACCGATTTCAATTGAACGGTTTTTTCTCATGGAAACGCACTTAAACTCACCATGTGGCCGCACCTCATGTCATGAGCCAGAAATCCTTTCCGCAGTTCAGTAAGGCGTTGCTGGTGAGTCTGCATCTCTGCAAGGGTCGCTTCCTGTAGATGGACCAGTATAACATGAAAGTGAAACAGCACACATCTTGCAAAGTAGTTATATATCAAACGAAGAGCACTGCCAGTTCAAGGGTGGATTATGCATTGTTCAAAAGCCGCCTTCTGGTACCGGGTGAGAAGAAACCCGATGGCGTCATTGATGACCATTGCGTACACACCAATGTCAGCTTTGGTAATCTGATCAATCTCCATGATACGTGCAAGAGCGCACTCAATGCCTACCCCAAGAAGGTTGTTGTAGTAGATCCAGTTCATGTACGTCCTTGACGCTACTAAAAAGGTCTGCCAAATAGTCACGTCCAGTATCTCAGAGGCAAGGCCATCCCAGCGCTTTGCCACTATAGAAGCTGCCCCGGTGCGGCTGATGATTTCAGCATGTCGAGAATCATGCTGTACGATCTTTTTTCGCTTGTCTGCAAGTCCTCGACGACGTTTGGAAGTCTCTTCCACAAGCATTGTGACAAAAGACACTGCACGGACACGAGCGAAGTCAAGCCCAATGCTGACAGGCAGCAGAGTCAACGTGAGAAGGGGCTGACCAAATAGCATTCCAGAGAGGAGCACAAGGTTCGGCAATTCCCACAATTTGCCTTCTATCATGTTGTAGCATGTGTGAATTAAATGATTGAAGGATTCTGTATACCCGTCCACCGTGTAGTTTGAGTCGCGCACCACTTCAAGCCTGTTGTGGGGATTCTCACCAGCGTGCAGAAAAGAGTCAACCCGCAAGGATTCCTCGACCTTATTGAAAAAATGCCGAAAGGATGCACTGTTGGCTGTCTCCATGATGCTGCGCTGGAACATGTACGGCAACGCAACGCTGCTCACATATACCAGCACTCTTTGTGTGAGAAATTGTCGTGCTGCCAGCTTCCCACTCGCCACATCCAGTAGTGCATTAGAGCGGGCTTTATCCTGTCGCATATACCAAATGTTCACGTAGCCAAGGGAGATCTGCACATAGCTGACGACGATGAAGAGCTCTGCAGCACAACAGTCGAAGTCCTCCTTCCCAACTACCTCTCTGAGAATTTGGAATGCCGATGCAACTTCGCTCACAGGGAGGAAAATATCAAGGGCCCTGAAAAGCATGTCAGCTAAGGGATGCCACCAAACAGTGAAATAGAGAGTGAGAATCAGGACTTGCCAGCCGGCCAGCATTGCCACCGCAAAGATGTCTGTTAAAATTGCTGTGAAAAGGTAGGAGTTCATATGAGCCACACAAAGTGGCCAGTAGTGAAATAGCAAATAACGGCAAGGACCCATATCAGAGGTGGCCCCATAAGACGCCTTTCGCGCAGCTTCAACGTTCCACTTTGCAACCAGTCCCACAGAAACGGCTGCGACTGTTTTCAGCTGAGTTGATTCTCGGGATGCCCAAGGCCAGGGCAAGGCCCAGCGCGCATATGCAGCTGACAACACAAAAATGTTCGTGTCCGATAGCAAGTTCGCAAGGAAACTGCCCAGCTGGTCCAGTGACTCAAGCGATGCAAAGCTTACCCAGTCCGGGTATTGAACAAGCAGAAATGCAATCGCCACAACTACAGGGGAGCCATAGATTAGCAGCTGCTGCAAGGAGACCATGAATCAGAAACTCAGGCAGATTCTGAATATTAAGAGAGATCTGGAATGATCCTGGAGGACTTCTCCATTTAATTTGTTATCCAAGTTTGGGCTCCCTGCATTTGAGCCATAATTTCAGGCTATGAATTGCGACGGGGAGGAAGCATGTTTAAAAACCGTCCATCGGAACTCACATGCCACATCATGCTGCGATTGGCTGTTGGCTCATGAACAGATTTGCAACCCACCACATTCCCTTCTAAAGCGTCCAAGTTCTAGACATTGACGGCGCTCCTGCTCCCTCAGCTTTTTGTCACGCTCCCGCCTAAGAAAGCACATTGTCGGGCATTGATAGGCGTGCAAACGTGCGACATTTTGCAAGACCCGCGGCGAAAAGATTCAAGGCCGTGGCTCTGCATCTGTGCGATTGGCCTTGGGCGGTGAAACTACATTCCATTGCAACGCATGGCGTGCCCGAAAAAATCGCTCAAAAAGCTGGAACAACAGATCGGGGGTTGCGGCCGGGGAGCCTTTTCAGCAAATTGGTCCAGGTTCAGGTCGTCGCGTCTGACTTCCTCCACACACAACTTGACCTCAAGAGGAGAAGCAACGAAGTGCAAGTTGAATATTCAATGCAACAAGTGTCTTCAAAGAAAAGGGATCATGCCATATGGAACCTACAGGGTGGCTTCAGAGAGGACACAGCAATATGGTTTCCCTTTTTGGGTGCACGATGCTTCAGGCCACGAGATCTGATCTGCTTAATCCATCAAGGGGCATCTGGTGGTTCCATTTGCTTAGAGCGTGCATACCGCCTTGCGGCACAGGTGCAATGATGCAAGACTTGCAAGTCCAGAAAATGTATTGACCAACAAAGGGCATGCCTGTAGTGTTTGTACAGATCCTTCAGCAAACGTGCTACCTCAAAATACAGCAACAGCATGCAAATTAGATGATGCATTCTTGGTACACTAAATGATTCACCGCTATAGAGTTTTAACGGTTAAGCCTCCCTGCTTGATCAACGGCTGCGACCTTGCAGGGTCAGACATCGTGGTAGGAAAGGACATGCAAACGCATCAGATCTCAGCAGGCTCACATGCCACACATCCATCACTAACACGCTGCAAAATTCAAATCCGACTGTGTCTTCTTGGTGTGACTGGGCCGCGCACATAGTCAACGTAGTCTGTGCAGCTGACATTCAACTGCAGTGGCATGTTTGCCTGCACATATTACTATTTTATCAGGAGTATTCAGGAGTGACAGCAATGATGATCAAAGCAAGAAGCATCTCTTATGCATTTCGTGCTGTGCCGCTCTTGCCAACCATCATCTTCCTTTGGACATCATGACTCAGAATGTGCCTCTGTGCCATCGGAGCCTTCCAAAAAGCCACTGCCAATACCATGCAAACGGACCTGACGTGATTCCCGCAACAAACAACTCAGAAAGGATGCCTCCACAAGCATCTATGACCTTCCTGCGCTGCCGGCCTTTGCATTGCAGTCATCGGCAATTCGCCGCATATTGTTTCCAGCCTGTTAGACCAAGGAGACCCCTTTCTGATTGAAGAGCCCATCCACTGCCCCACGGCTGCCTTTCCAAGAATTCGTTTGACAAGGCAGAACTCTTCATCATCTTCAAGTCCTGCATCCAATTGCAGCACTCACGCCTGGATGCTAATTTTGTCTAATTCTCATGGATTCATGGATTAATGTCCAGCAATGAATAGCCGAGTACATTCTCTGCAAGCAGAGCTCACCTATTTGGAAAACGCAGATGAACTTCTGGTTGTCACCTGCGTGCCACAAAAACACAAGCAAATAGGAAACACAATTTGGACCAGGACTTAGGAACTAGATGGAACAGGATGGAACTAGCAAATCATACAACCAAACCGCGCCGAACGTGCACTAAAAACTGCATTTCTGTATCAGATTTCGAGCCTTCAAGATTCCCGGGTGGCTGGATGAGATTCGACAGGCCACGTTTAGCAGCCTGGGGTGCACACTTTAAAATCTGGTGGATGAAGTCAAGTCTGTTGACTGTTTCAACTTGACCGAATGAGGCACAGATGGAACCACACATCTTACTTGCGCACATGCACATGCAGGTGTGTTGGGGCATGTTGGCGGGAGCTATGATTTGTTCGCAGGAAGTAGGTCCCAATGGCACCTCATCATATCTTCGGCTCCGCTGTCGCCTGGACAAAGAATGCAGGTGAAAATGGCTGCACTGAGATCACAATGATCATAGTTGAAGCGCCTTGGCGCCTCATCAGGGCCTCCAAGGCCCCACTCCTGCAGCTTAAAGTTAGGGCCGCGAAAAAAAAAAACACAACAACAACCACAAACCACAGTTTAGGCAAAACATGGCAAAACTATATACATGATCGAAGGAAGTTTCGTGGAGGAAACTCCGGGTTACGGACTTTCACATTCTCACTAGCCCAAAGATCATTGTGTCCAGTTGGCATGATTGCCTTAAGAGATCATGAAGTCACATTCTCACCAGCCACAGCTTGCATGTGCCTTAAGAGATCATGAAGTCACATTCTCACTAGCCCAAAGATCATTGTGTCCAGTTGGCATGTGCCTTAAGAGATCATGACGTCACATTCTCACTAGCCCAAAGATCGTTGTGTCCAGTTGGCATGCCAATGCGCTTTAAGAGATCATGAAGTCACATTCTTTTTAGCCCAGGGATCATATGTGTCCAGTTGGCATGTGCCTTGAGAGATCATGAAGTCACATTCTCACTAGCCCGAAGATAATTGTGTCCAGTTGGCATGCGCTTTTCGAGATCATGAAATCACATTCTCATTAGCCCAGAGATCATCTGTGTCCAGTTGGCATGTGCCTCAAGAGATCATGAAGTCACATTCTCATTGCCCAGAGATCATTTGTGTCCAGTTGGCATGTGCCTCAAGAGATCATGAAGTCACATTCTCATACATTCTCATTAGCCCAGAGATCATCTGTGTCCAGTTGGCATGTGCCTTAGGAGATCATGAAGTCACATTCTCATTGCCCAGAGATCATTGTGTCCAGTCGGCGCATGCACAGAGGTAGAGTAGAGGTAGACTAGAGAAGATGGTAGAGTAGAGAAGAGTAAAGGTAGAGTTGCGTGTGTAATAATACTATTGTGTTTTGCAGCTAGGAGTCGTAAATCGCATTGTAATGGCTGCGTGAAAGTTGCGAATGGTGATTTGGCAACAGATGTTTCTTCATTTTGGTGCTGATGATGTTCCTTTTAAAATTCCTTTTCAGAAGTGCTTCAAAACTGTCGTTTTTTGCGTGGGCGTCGAGATCCGGTTTTGGAGCTGCAATTTATGTAGCCGTTGTCCATAATTCTATTACGTTTTGCCACTCTGTCTCTGCAGATCGCTCATGTTGGCATGTTTAAGTGGCATGCTTGTTCCAAACCTGCAAAGACATGATCTGGCTGTCAGGCATTCAGCGGGGAGCGTGCAGCTGTTCTGCTCACGCTCATGTTGGCATGTTTAAGTGGCACGTTTGTTCGAAGGCATGTTGTTCGAAGGCATGTTTAAGTGGCATGAATGTTCGAAACCTGCAAGACTTGGCTGTCAGGTATTTAGCGGGAAGATGCGGGAAGCGTGCAGCTGTTCTTCTCACGCTCATGTTGGCATGTTGAAGTGGATCGCGCCTGCGCTGCGGGAACTCCACTTTGGCACCTTGTTCGATCAGTTGCTGGCTGATGCGCAGCTGCCTGATACCTTGCGCGCGCTGATCTTTGGGGCTTCTTTCAGTCAGTGCATAGACAACGTGCGGCTGCCGCCTCGGTTGGAAGTTGGAACAACTTTGCTATGGCAACAACTTCACCGGCGGGGGCTGTCGCTTGCCGTTCTCTCGCTGGCCCGTCAGCTTGCGACATCGTGCCGGCGGCTTGTTCTCATCTGGGGGATCGTTGCAATTTGTCCCTGCAAAAAATCGGTTTGCCTGCGAAATTGCAGCAATTGGAAATGGGATATTCGTTTGATCAGTCGGTCTGCAACATCCGCTGGCCGCGGGGTCTGCAAACCTTGGCCTTTGGCGTGACATTCAATAGGCCCTTGCAGGACGTTCTTCTGCCGGCAACGCTCTGCGAGCTTCACTTCGGCAATCGTTTCGATCAGGTACTGGATGGCATTTGCTGGCCATCGCAGCTGCAGCTTTTGCATTTTGGTCTGACTTCAATCACTCCCTGGCTACCGTGAATCTACCAGACCAACTCGAAACCCTCGTGTTGGGGCGATTTTTTCAACAGGATTTGCGGTACGTGCTTTTGCCGCAGTCATTGTTGCACCTCACCCTTGGCGAATGCTTTCCGTTGGAACGACATCCGCTCTTTTGGCCGCCGTACCTTGAGCAACTGAGCATCAAGCGACTGTTTCTCAACGTTCCGGTCGACGTCACCTTCCCGGAGACCTTGCGCAAGCTGGATTGCGATGGTGACATTTTGGAAGTGCAGAAAGAAGCAAGGAAGAAGAGCGCACGGCTGTGCTGCCTGCGTTCGCCACGCCTCGCTGCATTCCGGTGGTGCGCACAGCTGTGCTGCTTGCGTGTCCTTGTTCGTTTCGCCTTTCGGGCAGCAGGACTCAAAGGCGCGTGCGGCTGTGCTGCTCACGCGCTCTTGACAGATGGCTGCTCGTGACGTCACAGCTCTTCGCCGCGCGCGTGGAAAAAATGTTGCGGCCCAAGCGTGCTTGAACGTTGGACCCACAGGTAACAGTCAACAGTCCAGTGGGATTGAATTGAATGATAGCACATGACACGAGAATGATAACACATGATAACACAATCGAATGTTGAAAACCATGATCGAATGGAAAGGCAACTGTGTCACTTCGATTGTGCTGAGAAGAAAATGGACAGGTGGAACTGAGGTGAGGTGAGCCAACACGAGTTCAAAGGCGTTGAGAGGAGAAGACTGAGAGGAGAAGAGAGAGATGAAAAGAGAGTTGAGGTCGTTGGAAGAGTTGACAAGTGGCTTCACAATTTCCAACAAGAGGTCAGAAGCCCCGGAAAAGAGCATGGAAGTCTGCCCCAGTTCCTATAGGCAAACCTTGCTTTTGGATCCTATAGCGTTACACTTCTCAAACCTGGAAACTTCCGCCACCCGCCTTGCGCGCGTGTCTACTTGTAGTCCGTAATATTACATAAAATACTTTACTTCGAGTGACCCCCACCGTGACAAATTATTTCGTCATCCGGCATCTCATAAGTATATATGGGATGTATGTTCTGGCATTCTTTCTGGCATCTATTCTGGCATCTATTCTAACATCGCATGGAATGACCATCATTGACATCAATACAGCGCAGAAATGCACGAGTCTTGATCTCACAAGTTGTGCCTGAAGTGTCAAAATCAAGGATTGCCTTGACCTCACCAGCATTGCAATGGCTCATTTCAGCTAAACGCATCTCTGCCAGAGATTTTTGGCGGCTTGGCCGAGGCAATGCAATTGGACTTCCTGCAACTGATCTGTCAAACTTTGCTTGCTGAAAGGTCATACCATGCCACACTCGTTTCATCAAAGGTGGCTGGGGCACTGGCTCATCAGAATCAAGAAGTGGCCCGCCAAATGCCAGTGTCCCACCAAAAGCCTGGACACTTCACTAAGTCAGAGTTGAGTCTACGAGTCAGAGTTGAATCAACGTCGAGAACAAAAATGCCAATGTCTCCGTGCCACCCTCACATTCCAAAACCAGGGTGAATTCAATCTATTTTGCGTATACAGGGTATGGCAGGCAATCTTTGGCCTGGCGAAATTAATAGACGTGAAACATGTGCCATACAGCATGATAAAGCTCGCATGACACTTCCAAGCAGCCCTTGACCTTGACAGAAGAAATGGAAGAAATTATCGTGTCAAGGACTGCTTATATACATATCATATACTGTATATGTGTATACTTATTCATATACTGTACATTATACACATTCATGTGTAATACATGTGCAAGTATCTATGACCCTGTGCAATATGTTAACGTATCGAAACTGACATCACAGTTGAAGCGTTTGGCTAGACACCACTCCCTGGAATCTCGACTCTAAGGTGCATCTGACATTGTCAAACCATTCTGCATGGAAAGTACTGGTGAGCAAGGCAGCTCTTCGGAATTTGGAAGGCCATCGCACATGCAAAGGCAGCTCAGTGAAGAACTTCATAGAACTTCCACATAGGCACGAGTTTCAAGGAGTCTCGAAGTGAAAGCTTCATACATCTGTTAGATCCTGTTGTCAGTTGTCAGCAACAATGTAAAGCGGCCCTGGGCCCTGGGTGCGAAAATTCCCTGCCAGATGCAAGCTACCGCACCCTCACAGTCTACCAGTCTACCCTGACTGGATTGATATAGACATATATAGACCATGTCAGACCTTTTCACCTTGAGGAGTGACTTCAAACAAGGTACTCTGCGGACCCATTGTGACCAAAGCGTTGCCATTCGGAAGTATCCAGGCTGCTGAAATATGTGTACGATAAACGCTGCCGAACTTGCCCTGTTTCTTCCCAAAGCTTCAAACTGGAGGCGCTCCCAAGCAATGACCAGGACATTTCCAATCGGGAGTGGCTTCAAGTCGTAGTTGCGCAAGGTCTGCTGGCAAGGATAGAAATCGTAGAACCCAGCCGCACCACCAACCCGAAATCCAGGAGACTCCAGTGCTACACCACCATCATGGCATAAGAAATTTCAACATGAGCTGAAGACCTGCCTGCGGCTCCGCCATGTCTGCTCCACCTGACCATTTTTGACCGTCGTCGTCAATCCAGTAGGCCCGACTTGCGTTGAAGAAATAGCTGGAACACATCCTGCCAACATCCTGCCAACTGTCCGTTGATCCAGCGGCAGCTGAGACATGGTCGCTCTACCGACTTGCCGCTGGCAGTCTAGAAATGAAGCAAGCCAATACACTGAGCACACACCAATCCAAAACCGGAGAAGGCAGTGTACCCCCCCTCTGGTGACTGGTGACTTTGACATACTTTCAGTGGATGATACCATTATCTGCCTGCTGCTTGCATCTTTATGCTGTGTTCCGAGAATTTGGTTTGGCCTGGCTTTTCCAGCAAGTACAGCTGCGTCAACGATCTACCAGCCAACTACGAGCCTAGCTGGCCACATTCATGTGTTTAGGTGTCATGTCTGACCACGGTCAGCAGTATGAAGTGAGCATCTCGCATTTGCCTGTCAGCTCAGCAAGAGTTAGGCAAAACTGGTGCAGAGCCTCAACGACATCTGTGGCGGAAATTGTCCGGGGAAAGGCTTCGATCTCGGCACACCGACACTGACAACGGACAGGCTAGAAAAAGCATCTGGGTTGACATGGGTTGACTATGTCATGAATGGCTGGATGGGGACCAAGAGAAGGGGCCGCTTCTTGTACTGCACTGGGATCCCTGCCACAAGCCCGTTGGGATAACGCTCGTGAAAGCCTGCGAGCAATGCTGAGTTATACCACACAAGTGTCTGCAGCTGCATGACAATTGATCATGTCAAAATGACAGTTCTCAGGACCGTTCTCAGTAATTTCTGAAAGTAATGTAAGTAAGATAATGTAAAATGATGTTTGCAGATTGCACCTGGAGGTTTTGCGGGAGGCCTGGGTATTGATGCAAAACTCCATGTGCGCCAAATTGCGCCAAGGTCATGGCCATGGCTTGATTTGCACTCTGGCAATGGCTCAGCCCAGAGCAATGACTGCTCCGTTGCGCCTGGCAACGTCCAACCCTTCCCATTCTGCCCATCACAGCGCCTGCTTATCGGTTTCCCACAATCTCAGCCAGGCCAGCCGCCCGCACTGGTTCCCTGCACAGCTTGAAGATGGCAAGGCTCTAAGCTCGGCTTGTCCAATACAGTACCCATGGTTACCCCAAAATTCATTGGCTTGTCCTACTTTATCAATCTTTATCATACTTTATCACCATGTTTTTCTCCTTCAAGATTGCAATTTTGAAGTGCCTTCCCATGCTTGGACAAACCCATGATCTGTATGAGATGTGATGCATCTGGGATCTGCACTGCGGACTCACCCAGCGACGTAGCAACGGTCAATCTGAAGTGGGGAGGGCGAACTGATGACAATAGGGGGCAACTCCAGTGCTGTAGTGAAGCCAGTTGTAAAACTTGGCAATCGATGGTGTCGAAAAAGAAATGCATTTTTCTGGCTCCACAACCCGAAACGCTGTGTTTGTATGACTTGTTGGCATCAGGCACTGCATGACAAATACATTTCATGTGGCAGGCGTGTGACCTAAATGTGAATCTTACAGTTCTACCTCAGAAACTGCATTTTAAGGGTTGAAATTAAAAAAACAACAACAACATTACCGTAAGACTTGATTTTACTATGTTTTGATGGATCTTGCTATACTATGTTCCTGTTTGGACTTCGTTCACCACCAAAGGACTGGATTGAAGGGAGTGCAAGTAAACGTTATCTGCACCTGACCCGACCCTCACCCTAGTTTTTAGATGTTTTTAGCATCTGGTGTGGCATCAAGTGTGTCTGCAAGTTTACTTGAACATGAACATCACCTCACCCCACCACAACCGTTCCCTATATGTAGCCGGCAGTAGCGTGAACGTCAAAAGATCTTAAACTCACCCCAGACCATAGAAGCAGCATGGCATGCAGTGATGTAGAAGTCTACTTGAGTCTATATACTTGAATTGTATATATCATCACCCCATCCAGCCCACCCCAACCTTACATAATGTAACGGTTGGAAAGAGAGCATCGCCGCAAGCGCACATTAGCAAAAATGACAACCCTTCCACAGGCGGCATATCAACCGAGTGCCTAAAACTACTGTACCCTTTGCTACCTGTAGTTTGGAAAGCACACCGCGAAGCACTAAAATCCGCGGATTTTCGGGTGATGCATTCCATGACCATCATGTTGGGCAAACACGAACAGACCGCAAAATGAATCAAAATGACATCTTGCCAAGGTGTCCACAGAGTGTCTCCCACGTCAGTAGTCTGCACAGATGTTTGCCCATCCAATGTGGCCTTAGCTTCCCGGCGCTGCTCACGAAGCTTGTGGCGAATTCTGTGAGACTACATCGTGTTCAACATGCTTTGCCGGACCATGTGCCACTCAGTAGCCCATAGTAGCCCCTGTTATCTCTTCTCGGACGCAACTGTGTATGGTTGCTTTCGTTTGTCTTGGGCGAACATGCAGGAAAAATCCCGTGTGGAAAAAATCGGATGTGCCAGAATAGATACTGGATGTGTATTGAGTTTGTGGGAGAAAATCAAGATACATATGCGTTGTATAATTGATGTTATCTTTTGAGTTGTGCATTCTGTGGGGGCTTCCAGCCCCATAAGCTTCCCATACCACTCCAAAAGAAACCTGTTTGAATGCAGTTTACGGAAACTTTTCTGGGAAGGAGCCAATAGTTGAGGGTCCCAAACAAGCGCTTTCTGTTCTTTGAAGCACTTTGCGGATCTATTGACTTCCTCTATGCCACCATGCCAGCATCATGCAAAGTTTAAAGCATCATGTGCTTCTGCATGTGCCCATGAAAATGCGTGTGCACGCGCCTCCCGCACGCGCCGTGTGTACATTCCCATCAGTGCTGTGCTGTACAACTGTGTAATTTCGGTTGGTGTGTGCTTCTCCATGGGTGGACGTGAATTGTTCGCTCATGTGACACCCTATCAAAAAGCAATATGCAAGGCATTGCAAGGCTAAGGATAGACAGCAGCGTGCACCGTCTTCATACGGCCTGTAAGAACTGGGTGCCACGGGCCTTTGAAGAGTCTTGGGCCGTCTCTTCAGGAACCTGCTGACAGTACCATGACGTTAAAATGATATCAAATGATGTAAATGATGTAAAATGTACCATGGAAGCAAACCAAACGCTGCTCTTCCAGCCCCTTCTTCCCTCTTCAGTTGCACCTTGGGACTAGTCATGGTCCCAATTGGTTGCAGCGCTAAAAGCGCTAACGCGTATCTGGCATTGCACAGTCCGGACGTTGCACAGCTGCACCTCACAGTCACCCGCCTGCAGCTCTCAAGGTGTGGTTGAGGCCTGCTGGCCTTGACTCCTTGCCTTGACAGCTGAGTCGCAGGTGACAGCTGCCAGAGATCCACTTCTGTTCTGTTCTGTTCTGTGCCCTGTGCACTCGCGTAGCAAGTGCGGCGGCACATCTCCCAAAAACCGCTTTCAAGGTGAAACAAGCCAAAAAAAAAAAAACGCGTGGTGAGACAATCTCATCAAAGAGCAGGGATGAGCATAAATAAAATAAATTACACGAAAAGGGGTGAAATGTGGGTATCACGTATTCAAGGCACCCTCGCTTCGGCCAGGTGCATGTGAAACAAAAATGACCTCATCATCATCACTATCACTGCTTGAAATGATCCACGTGGTATTTCTCATTTGTCGTCGAAGTTTTTTCCGGAACCTTCTTTCAGCTGTTTCCCGTATGATTTGGATCTGGGCAGATCTCATCAAAGTCATCCACCGATCAGGGACTTGCACTTAACAGCCAGGCACAAGGATTGACTTGAGGCCAGGGGGAAGGTACGAAAGCTAGCAGGACATAGCAGGACGGTACTAGTGTTGTACTGGAGACTGCTCAGCTGAAAGAAAAATAGGAGTGTCTAATCGCCTGCTGATTGATGGTGATGGTGACGACGACGGCGACGGCGGCGACGACGACGACGACGCCGACGGCGACGACGACGACGACGACGGTGATCATGATTGTGATTGTGATGGGTGCGACAATGATGATGACAATGCTCTTAATATCTCCCAATAAAGATGAAAGTGAGAAGGTGAAGATAAAAACGCAAATGACTCAGATGACGATAAAATATATGAAAATGACAAACCTGTACCTGCCCTGAAACAACGGACCAGGGGGATTGAACCCGGGCCTGCCAAGGGGGGAGGGCAGTATAAGATTGAAAGCTTCTAGGGATTGGACTCTCCTACTGCCTGCCTATTCCTTGCTAAAGCGAGAACAATTTCAGCTAGCATAAGCTGGCTTTCTTGACAAGTTCTGGCAGCATCTAAGGAAACAGCTTGACACAATTAAGGACCAGTGAGCACAATCTGTTGCGAATGACCACTGCGACACAACTGCAATTGAAGTGATCATGAGATTACGGGCTCCTTTGAAATGTCAAAGTCAACATAGTCAACGCAACGAAAAAAAGAAGAGTTCAGAAATGTTCAGAATTCACAGCGTTGATCAGAATTCAGAGTGCAGTTTGCCTAAACCACCTGGAAGTAGATGGCCTGCAAGGCGTCTCCTCACAGCTTGGCACGGCTTGGCAGACAGGTCAGTGATGTTCAGTGACCAGAGCTGAGGCTGAGCCCGGTACCCAAAAAGCCCACAATGCAGGTGATACCAATGGATACAAATGGATACACTGGTGCAAACTGTTCAAACGGCAACAACATCTATGTTGCTGAAAATGCTGCTGTTCAGGAGTCTGGGGTACTCATTCAGGAATGGACTGACGGTTTGGCGACTGTGGTGTTTGGCATTTCTCTCTGCACTGCTGTGATCTGTGTACACATCGTCTGGGCAGTTGTGATTAGGGCAGTTGGCTCAACCTCTACCCCTGACGCTGCAGCGCTTCACGGCAGAACATATACATGTGCTGGTGCTCCCTCTATCGTCAAAAACAATTAGCCACGATGTGAAGCTACACTCACCCCGTAACATGGAAAATTTACTCAGGGGATCTCTCACTCACGAATACCAAACAATTCTAAAATCAACTCCTCCATATGGAACATGTGAGTGGGGTGCGACATGGAGCCAAATCGCCGATCCAGTCGCTTATATACCACGCAGTCAGTCACTACCAGGCACTACCCCATCCACTGTCCCGGTAATCCGACGTCGTTTTGCAGCTGGCACGCTGCCTTTTTTGAAACGGAAAGGCTTGTTGTGAGCATTGACACAAAGTTCCATTGGCGCTTCGGCGTTTCAGAAATCCATAGAAAAGCGCTATTCTTTGAAGAGATCGTCTTGAAAAGAGGTTCAGACTCTTTGAAGACACACCCTGCTTGCAAACTAGGCAGCCTGTCTACCCAGAAATTAGTTCCTAGTGCTGCTTCCTTTCCATTAACAAAATGCGGCGTTCCCTTGGACATGTGCAATATGATTTTACGGAGTGAACTGTTGTTTTGTTTTAAAAAGTGCAGTGGTCTGTCTAAGAAAAAGAGAAACTTGCACCCCTACAAAGGGATGTATATTTTGTTGGAAATGTGTTTCTAAATAACTACTGGACTGTCTCGAAGAAAGACTGCGGCGTATAAACAAAATACAGTTCTTGAAAATGCATTTCTCCTGGACTGCTATCTGTGTGAAGAACACTAGGTCAGATTGGTTGTCTTGTTTTGATATGAATGGTATGTTGAAAGCATGCTGCATATGGCGCATACAACAGCAAAAGAGCATGAGCTTTATTAATTGAAGAACACATGGCATAAGTGTGTGCCATAGTTCCTCTAAAATCTGGAAACAATATATAATTGTTCCTTTGATGAAGCAGCTGTCCTTTCAAAAAAGGAAAACAGTAGATGGAAAAAAATCAAGCCCTACAGACATCTACCAAGTAAAACCCCACCCCAATTTCAATGTGGAACAAACTCTATGTAGTTTTCTCTGCGTTCAGGGTTTGATTTTTTGTCACCGCAATACAGCAAGGGTTTGATTTCATCGTCCATCTACGGAAGGATGGCTGAACGCCTTCAAAAGGAATACCACATGTTTCGAAAAAAAATCCGGGAGTACTGCCTCTCCACAGGAATTTGAACAATGTCGTGAAGGAAGATTGCAGTGTGTAAGCAAAAGGTTCTTCTTCTAAGGAAAGCTGATTCCTGGCCAGGAATTCTGCATTTGTGCATTGAATTGACTAATTGGACACTGCACTATACTGTATACTGCACTTTTGGAGTGTGTGAAACAATGTCACCTAAGGCACATTGCCCGGGAAAATGTGTTCTCAAAGGGGTATCGTGCCATTTAGGGAAGACTGAATGTTTGACAGGAGGATTGCATTTCTTCAAAGAGCTGCATCCTTCAGAGGGGCACATACTTTGACGGGAATATTGTTTCTCAAATGAAAGAATGTATCTTTGAAAGGGTTGCAGCCTTTTTCTACAGGCAAGCCCGCTGAATTTTGTGCGAGAATGTTGACATTAAAAAGGATACATTACTGTGCAAGGAAGACAAAGTACTTTGAACGAAGGCTCTGCTTCATTGAAAACCTGAATCGTTCGCAGGGATGCTTCATAATTTTCAGATGCATTTCCTTCTTGAAAGGAAAACCTGTATCGTTTTAAAGGAAGAGTGCAACCTACAGTGATGGATGTCTCTGTATCATACAAATATATACAATATTATATTCCAGGAAAGCCACATATTGTAAGGAATGCTGCACTTTAAAAGCATAGTGAACATTGTGCAGGATGTTTGCCTTTTGAAGGATCATGTTTTTGGAAATAGCATGGCGCGCCGCAAATCACAATAGACGTTCGAAATAATAAAAAAAAATCTCGAGGAGATAAAAGTTGAGCATGTATGGGTAGCTACATGTAGCTACTATTAGCATCTACAGTATTAGCATGTATTATATAGCTACTTCTCGATCTTCTAGAACCTACCTCTCGGCATTCGTAGCACTCAGCAAGCAACCTGCTTCTTGGTATTAAAAACGGCTGCAATATCCAGGACATGGAACAAGCTCGCTATATAAAGAGCAGTCCAAGATGTATGGTGAAGATTAAACAAATCCAACGTTGAGCGCTCACAACAAGCTCGTCCCTCTTAAAATGAAACTGAGGTACTAAGGTACATCGCCCTTCAGAGCGGATGTGGAGGAAGTCAGCTGCCACGAGACTGAGCTTTGCGTTTGGACTGAGCGTTGGGCCAGCTACGAAGAATATGAGATACCACATGACTTTTGTCGGCATCTCTGAGGGCTGGAGAGGTTGGGGCATCTTTCAAAGGAGCACGTTTACCCTCCACCTCTGCAGTGATGGAATCCTCAGGGTCATCTGAGTCATTGAGCATCTCATAGGTTTATGATGGTTTATGCTGGTTTATGTTTATTATATCTCCATGAGCATGTCTACTAGTAGATTGGAACCTGCACAAGCATTTTGAATACGAAAACGGTGAGACTCAAAACATCAAAAAACAAGCTTGCAGACGTAATATGACGTAATTATTTGGCACCGTCATTTCAATGTTTCTTCGGATACCACACGATCTGCTCTATCCATCAAGGGGGGCCGGGGAGCCTTTCCAGCAAATAGGTTCAGCTTCAGGTCATCGCGTCTGACTTCTTCCACACACAACTTGACCTCAGTTGGAGAAGCGACTAAGTGCAAGCTGAATATTCAATGCAACAGAAGCGTCTTCAAAGAAAAGGGATCACGCAATATAGAACCTACTGTTACAGGTTGCTTTCAAAAAGGACACAGCAACATGATGGTTTCCCTTTTTGGGTGCGCGATGCTTCAGGCCGCAAGATCTGATTTGCTCAATCCGTCAAGGGGCATCTGGTGGTTCCATTTGCTTAGAGCGTGCATACCGCCTTGCGGCGCAGGTGCAATGAGGCAAGAGGCTTGCAGGCTTGCAAGTCCGGAAATTGTCTTTAACGACAAAGGGCACGCCTGTAGTGTTTGTACAAATCCCTCAGCAATCGTGCAACCTCAAAGATGCAGCAGAAGAATGAGGAAAAGATTAACAAATGTATACGCGCATTGAATTACAGCTTCGGAGCTTACGCTATTGGAGTTTCATCCTTTTAAGATTTTTAAGCCCCCCTGCTTGATCGACAGCGGCGACCTCTGCAAGCTGAATTAAGGCTAGCTGAATGAAGACCCATCGTCAAGACAGCTGGCTGGACCAAAGAATGCAAGTCGTACATGACACTAGCAAGTTGCAATGAAATCCGCCCGTGCCAAAGGTGCCGAGGCGTTTTTTGTGCGCACGCATTATAACCGGAAGCAATTGCAATAGCTACTAAGCTTTAGCTTGGGGGGAGCCTTTATTGCTCTAGAATCTTGTGTTTTTCCACGTTCTTTAAAGGGAACTAAAATCAGCTAAGTTGCCAAATTTGGGCTCAACATGGCCCAACATGGGCCCAACATAGGCCCAACATGGGCTCAACTTGGCCCAACATAGGCCCAACACAGGCTTAACATAGGCTCAACATAGCCCAATATCCCAATATGGCTCGCCATGGGGCCTAGGGCCAATATAGGCCCAACATGGGCGCAACATAGGCCCTGGGCCCAACACGGCCCAACATAGAGCCAACATGTGCCCAACATGTGCCCAACATACCCCCAACATGAGCCCTACAAAGGCCCAACATAGAGGTTTGTTTTATTGGAACTTCGGAGCTAACAATCCGGTGCGGGCGGTTGTCGCCGCGAAGCGACCAGAATAGTGAAATAGCCATAGCTGCAAAATATTGCAAAATCCAAATCAAACTGCGTCTTCTTGCTATGGCTGGGCCGCATGCATAGTCAGAGTAGTCTGTGCAGCTGACATTCAATTGCAGTGGCATGTCTGCCTGCGAAAAGGTACTGTCCAAGCAAGGGAAACACAATTAACCCAGCTTTTGCAAAACCCAGCTTAAGAGGTTCCCTAGTAGGGTTCCCTAGTAGCGTCCATGTATGTCCATGTTTGGGCCGTTTTGATTCTCAGCATTCAGCATGGAAACAAAATGACAAGTGGGAGACAAGTGGGAGAAAAGTAGGGGAAAAGTGGGAGACAAGTGAGAGACAAACTGGGAGACAATGTTGGACAAAGCGGGAGACAAAAATAGGGAGACAATTTGGAAGACAAGGGGGAGACAAGGCCAAGACACAATGGACAACACAGTGGGAGACAAGGTTCCAAGGTTCCCGGAACCCTGCTTCCCCATGGGCAAGGAGGGAGAAGTAGTGATACTGCCCCTTGCTTTTAGAGATTGAAACCCAACAGCTTTCTGCTGTTGGAAATTGTCACACGATAATTACAGTAAGTGTTGAACTGTTGTCAATCCTTGCCACCTGCAGCTGACAGCGACACAGACTCGTCATGTGCCTCTGTGGCATTAGCTCCTTCCAAAAAGCCACTGCCAATACCGCGCAAACGGACCTGACGCGATTCCCGCGACAAATGGCAATTCAGAGCTGATGCTTCTACAACCTTCCATAACCCTGCTTTGCTTGTCTTGCCGGCCCTCGCATTGCAGTCATCGGAAATTCGCCGCATATTGTTTCCAGCCTGTTGGGCTAACGAGGATTCTTGCCAACCCAGTAAAGCAATTATTGATCAACATCAAGAATGACTCGGCCGCGCCAAAGAGGACAGCAACCTGCCTTTCCAAGAATCCGTTTGACAAGGGCGAACTCTTCATCGTCTTCAAGTCCTGCATCCCAGCTGCAGCACTCACGGCAGGCATGCCCTGGATGCCAATCCTTATGGATTCACGGATTACTAGTGAGTGTCCAGTGATGAATAGCCGAGTACATGCTCTTCAAACAGATCTCACCTATTCGGAAAACGTCACCACATCCCCTGATTGCAAATCTGTCATGTTGATCCGTGTTTGTTTTTTTTTGATCCCTATTTGTTTTTTTTGATCCCTCTCCCACTCGTGCATGTCAAGTGGCAAATGCTTAATTACATGTTCGACAAGAACCGCATCGCCTATTTTGAAGATGCAGACAAATTTCTGGCCACCAACTGCGGGGAGAAACAGCACATGATAGCTTGAAAATGACCTTTGAATTGCAGGAGACACAGCCGTTTTAAAACGTGTCCAGCCTTCAAGATTGCCAGGCGGCTGGATGAGTGAGGAACCATTTCTGACAGCCTGCAGGAACACACTTGAACTTGAAATTTAGGATGTTGTTTTTGCACCTATATGAACAGGATGAGGAGGCATGAGGTAGAATGCTTGGACTGCGCACTGGAAAGGAACTATAGGAAAGCATGCAATCCGTCAAAGTTCATGTGTTCGCAAGCAGTGTGCTGCAATGGCACCTGATCATATCTTGTGCTTCGCTGTCGTCTGGCCAGAGAATGAGCTCAATTTGAACAAAATTCAACAAAGTTGAACAAAGTTGAGCTTTAGATATACAAGTGAATGATAAGTTGAATTCGTTAAAATACTCTTAAACTATACTATAGACTATATTATATATATATATTGTGTGTGTAATGGAAACCGGGGTCGCTGCGCTGAATTCAGTTGAAACTCAGGAGCCAATCAGCTTCTCTGGCCACGCCTCGGCGCCTCATCAGGGCCTCCAAAGCCCCACTCCTGGAGGTGAAAGCGGTTAACGACGGTTGAAGCTTCAAGGAAAACACGATGAGGATGACAACCCATGGCCGAAACAGTCAACCTAAGACAAGTGATCCACAAGTGATCCGTTGCAAAAAAGAACATGCCATGAGTTATGACCATCAATCATGACCATCGCTACATCATTCACAGTGCACAGAGAACAAAAGAGCACAAAAACATACAAAAATGAAAAATGTAGATACACCCAACAGCCATACCTGAAGTGTCAAAATGAGGGACGTGGCTGACCTCAACATGTGCAAGGGGTCACTCGAGTGGGCACATTATGCTCGTGGCATGGCTTGGGCGTCGGCTCATCGGAACCGAGAAGCGGCCCACCACAGGTGATGGCTCCACCAAAGGCCTCTACAATCGGTACATGTTCATGGTATCCAATGGCCCATTGTTGAAAGCAGTGCCAAGTTGCCAGTTGCAGGTGAATCTGGGATAATAATCAAATTGTATCAGGGTTCAGATAAGGGGGGAGAAGTTGTGCAATGGCATTTGGTAGGTACAAAGCGGAATGCATAGGGTGCGCAACTACACAATGCAGTGCATGTTATTTTTTTTTGCAACTACAAAATGAAGAACATAACTCTTTCTGGCTCGGAAAATAATTCAAAATCAGCACTACAAAATCCAATGCATCTGAAGTTAAAAAATAGCTGAAATCGGAATTGCTAACATGATTTTTCCCAATGACATTTTGTAGTTGGGTCTATGCCATCCAAAGTTCCGACCAACATAAATTCTGAGAACATTTTGTAGTTGTCAATGATTGAATTTAGTTGGGTCAAGTGTTGACCCCGTGCAGTTTGTTAGATGGCATTCCGTAGCTTCATGATCTGTTACCTTGTTAGATGGCATTCTGTAGATTTTATGTTGGATGCTTCAACTAGCTCAACATATACAACTACAAAATGAAAATGATGATTTGAAAGGAATCAACTACAAAATGAATGCAAATACAAAAAGGGGGGCCCAACCCCTCCTGTTTGTACAAAAAAATCCTGGCTGGCAATCTGTACTGTAGCCCAAGTCCTCCCCGTTTTGTAGCTGAAATTTGAAGGAGGATCAAATTGTGCGGTCGGTGTCTATGTGATCAGACTACAGTTGATATAGTTGATACATGTTGATACAGAGTATTCCTGACATGGCTGGCATTGGCCAATGAAAAATCTGCACACCATTGATCTCCATTGATTAATTTTTTGCCCCTAAATGTCTCCCACTCTCAGCTCTGCCGGATGCTGGAGAACTGATGAGGACAAAGCCTCCACGACATCTGTTGCTGAAATTGTCCGGGAACTGGTGTCGATCTCAGCACACCACCAATTGGTCCGTCACGGGCCAGAAAAACATGTGCTCACGGGCTGAATGTGCATGAACTGGGGTCTTGAAGCACTGTGGCCCCTACCACAAGCCCATCGGCATGACGCCCGTGAAAATCTGAGCAGCACTCAAACGGCTTGCCAACAAGGCAATGATTCAAGTATCATCAACATGAAAAATTAACAGCTCGTACATTTTTCGCGGTATCCTGACTGGCCAGGTCAAAGATGTCAAAAAGTGTCGAATTTGAAAGTCAAGCGATGCAAACCCATCAGGCCCGTCAGGTCTGCGAGCTGCACCTTGAGGTTTTGCAGGAGGCCTGGTACGCTCAAACTTCAGCTGTGTTACCAAAAAGCATGCAGTACTTCAGTTGGGCAATGGATGAGCCCTGCACAATGATTGCAATGATTGCTGTTCCGTCAAAGCACCTGCCGGATCAGCAGTTCAGTTCTCTTTGGATGGGGTGCCTACAAAAAATGCTGGAAGTTGTTCTTATTTCCTGGCCTTGGCTGAGTGGTCTATCGCCCATTGATTGGCTGTTTTCGACCTGATCTGGGAGGGATACCTTCCTTCGGACATACGTCACGTGTGTGAATATGATAATATTTGATGCAATTTGATGATACATGAGAATATCAAGAATATCAAGTAATACAGGTATGGCTCAAATCTCTGACAGATCACGCCAACCATCGTCAACCAAATGTCTACTGGAGAAAAACCACGAAAAACCTATTGTCCAACAGCCACCTGCATCCAGGATGGGCCCTAGGGCTCCCAACTGGTCCATCTGTGCTAGGCATCTTGAAGCTGGATGGAATTGGAATAGAATGCGTAGCAAGGTGTCTAATGCAAAGCAGTCAACCGCATTGAATGCATTTCACCACGTGCAATGTGGAAAACGATAGGTGGAATGGACCGTGCTAAACAGGCAAATCTACGAGATAAACCTTGCAACACTTGAAAAAAACAAACAAACAACTTGACTGCCTGTTTGGCAGCGTTCTGAATTGTGAAAGCCATGTGTCAGCCATGCTGGTTTACTCTGATGCCCACACAACGTTTCCAGAATTGGAAAGCGTTGGTGGCTGCGGAGTGCAGAAATTTGATCCAACAACAATGAGCACACATGACTGAAAGAATCAAAGATGTGTTGCAACTGAAACTATTCTGGAGGACATGAGGATGTTGTGAAGCAGCAAAGCAAAGTCTGTTAACTGGACCAAAAACGCTTTTTCTCCCCTGGTAGCCTCTGCTGGGTCTTCTTCAAATGGTACGTGTAGAGCATGCGGTCGTCACCGTCCTGAACCGTGCCAAACCCTCAAAGCTCAGACGAAACAGTGGCAGTGTTGCTCTTCCACCTCCGAGGATAAGCCAAAGCCATATTGCACCAAGGATTCTCCGCTCACCTTGCGAAAATTGTGACATGTTGCACACACACCTACCGCTAGACTCTTAGCCTTCTGCCATCCCCTCTTTGAGCCTTCCTGTTATGAGATTCTATGAGATTCTGCGAGATTCTAGAAGTGTTCTCTTCTCTTCACTTGCATCATGCTGGCCTCAAAGACTTCATTCGCACAGTCGAAGAACACAGCATCCTCGCCAGCTGAAAACAAGTCACCGCCGCAGACCTAGCCTGGTGACTTGGTGGCTGAACGATTTGATTTGCATCGTTTGGACAATTTGCACACCATTCCGAGAGCTGAGGGACTTTGGAGGACTTTTGTGACTTTTGCAGCCTGCATTCTGCTGCAGCACCGTCAGATCCTCACCTCTTTTGGGCTCAGATCCGAAACTCCCCTACTGATCCCTACTGTGAGTAATGCCGGGAGAGCTTCATTTGGTGGACCGCAGGCATGAGCTCTGGCCTTGGCCAAATGTGACAAAAACAAACAAGAAGTGACAAGAAGCATTAAGGAAGCTTCAATGTGTGGTGACAGAGCCAACGTGGTATGGCAGAGCTCAGGTGGTGGCTTTCCTTTTGTAAATTGTTGCAACTGACAGGGCAAGACATGGCAAGAGTCTGTTCTAACAGGACACGTCGCCACAAGCAACAAAATCCTTGCCAAAGCATCAAAGCAAGTGGTGCGTCAAAGCTTCCTGTGTGCCGCACGTGAATCTAGCCTGGTAGTGCTTGTCGTGGGTCCTCCCCGAATTGGCGCAGGCAGCAAAAACCTCAGTGCTGGCACTTTGCTCTCAGGGTGCATGTCACAATGTGTGCCTGTTACTCTTGACAGTCCCATCAGCCCTGCAGTTGGAGAATAACATATGGTCCATGCATGTCCATGCTATGTGTCTTTTTGGCACAGCTAGGACTGCGGCTTCGCACAATGACCCGCCCAAAGAGTGTCCAGTGCAAGAGACCTGCTTTGGCTCCAAGGAAGCACTGCTTTGCATCAAAATTGAAGCAGGAAGCCAATTTAGTAAACATGTTGTGGAGGAAATTTGAAGGACTTGGGGGACTTGTGCTGATATTGCATGCGTTTGTTCTTCCACCAGCCTTGTTGCACTTTGAGAGGGAATGTCGTAGCTTTGGCATACTGAACGTCATGAGCCAATATAGCTTGTCAGCATACCCTTTGTGAACACCCTGGAAGCCGCAGTAGCCATCTCCGGCTCCCTCCAGGTTGCGACCAAACTCATTAAATGAGTGAGTTCCTTCAAAAGCCAGGACACAATCCAAAGTCTCGTGATTTTGGACCAAAAACATGTTGTCCACCGCCTCCAAGGTATCCTGTTGTGTCTGCGCTACCAGGTTCCACTTGTGCAGGTGTCTCTTAATTAGAGATTCCATTGTTGCCTGCTCTCCTGTTCTCCAGTACTTTGCTTTTTCGTAGGCACCGAAGGATAGGACTGCAAATTGTTTGGAGTAGTTGAATGGAGCTTGATGTGACACATCTTTTCCCTGGAGCTGCAAATGAACCAGTCTGTCAATGTAATTTTTCATCCAGTGATGATCAATGTCACCAGCCCTCCCGCGGCGATGTCTAGGAAGCTCTGGTCTACCAGCACCCGGGAAGTATTCTGAGTCCATCTTCCAATGCAGCACCAGGGTTGGCACCTTTGCATGATACAAATCTTGTCTGAAGATTGCTGCGATGTCAGTCTGCCTCGAGCCCGTCAAAATGGTTTCAGTATAACACCTCAAACCACGAAAGCTTCTGCTTGGTTGCGACAGGTCTTCAAGTGGAGACTTGCTAGTAGCAACTGCCCCGTAGGTGTACATAGCATACCTCAGCAGTTCGAATGGCCGACTCAAGGACCGTTCCTGTGCAAGCAAAACCCTAGGCCTCTAGGCCGGGGGCCACACTACTAGCACTACTGTTATGTCTGTCTGTGAGTCTATGCTTTTAACTTTCAAAATCGTGGTCCAGCAATATCCAGTCCGAAAGTGAGAGGCGGCACGGCATTTTGCTCAAGCCAAGCTTCACCCTCCCATCAGTTCTCTCCTGGCGCTGGCGGAAGTGAATTCTCTTTGCAATCACGGAGGCGGAACATCTCAAGATACGTCAAAGCACAAAGAATTTTGGCGCCTGCGCATCTTCTACCTCTGCAGTCGCACGCAGCTGCAGAGCTTCTAGACTGCATCCTGGCAAGCCAAAGGCTGTGTGACTGGAGCGAAGACAGTGTGACCCAATGTGACCCAAATGGAATCAGAAGACTCAGCACGTGAAGGACCGTTAAGTACCGTCATGGACGCTGCCTTCAGATCCTTCAGAGGTGCACTCATCATCAGCTCTTAAAAGATCGAGATTCTCTGCCACGGAGAGCTGCCAGAGTCCCTGCAAAGACCCCTAGACTTAGACTCCAACAACACTGTGCCAAATAATAGCTGAGGAAAAGCACAAAACGTCCCGTTAAAGTGATAAATTCAAAGGGGCACCACCAATAACAGGGCTACAGCAAAATGAATATACTCTCTTTGTTGTATAATCTCTCTCTTTCATTTCACGTGATGTTTTTTAAATGTTCAGCAGCATCGTTAGTGTCCCCTGCCAAGGGACAAGTTGAACGAAGACGACCCAAAGCTGCATGACTCACGGAGGCGTCGCCTAGGGTAGAGATTCATCTGTGTTGGAACAAGTTACGCTCCATGACCCCTGCGTAAGAAAAGCAGGGAATCAAAGGGGATCGGCACCTGATCTAAATAATGTACTCTTGCTAGCTGCTAATAATCATTGCAAAAAAAATCTCCTGGACATGGTGGCTTCATCGCTAAAGCCCGGTGAGTGCTCAGGTACTGGCACCGTGCAAAAAGGCAGCCGGGCAAAAACGCTTTTCAATAATTTACAAAGGCTTTTTTGAGCAAAATCCGACGGATGCCGTTTTGGATTGTCAACGTAAAGGTTTTGACATGTTTTGACCTTTCAAAATGACTACGATAAAAAGCTGCAGTGAATGTGGACACCATCGTCGCATCTCCTGCATCAGTCCATCCCGGAATTCATATGCCATTAAGCATATCCCATCCTGCAAGCTCTGCTCAAATGTCAAATGTGTCAAGTTTTGTGCGAAAGCCTGATAATTCTGAATGCGCTGACAGCAGAATTTCTGGAACAAAGCTAGCCAACAAAAGCAAATAAAAGCAAACAGTTGTCATCAGTGGTCCAATGATGTCAAATGACGTCAAATGCGCATCCGATTCAGGCTCTGTCCTCCCGAACCAGGAAGCGCATGGCTTCGACCAGTGCTTGAGCTGTCTCATCGTCATGCTGGTAGATGACCTCACCTGGGAAGATCTGGCAGATCTTGGATCCTCTAACGATTCGACGATCTGTGGCCGTCTGCCGTTGCCATATGTTGCCATGACCTGAGAGCCACGCAACCAATGACCACATCGCATCCGTCGCATCCACTCGGCCTGGAGCCCCAAGGGTGCGCCAAGGGCGCGGCGGGGTGGCAGGAAACTGTCACCAATGTCACCACTGTTCGACTCTCTGGCCTGTGGTGTTGCAATGTATGAATCATACAACACTAATTTATATACTCATTTATGATATTTTTACATGAATGTATAAATATGCATATGTTTTTTTTATCTATCTATCTATCTATCTATCTATCGATCTATCTATCTATCTATCTATCTATCTATCCATATATATATATATGATATATCAATGTGTGTATGTGTATTTATATATATATATATGTACGTGCTATACATTTCATGACTATCTAGTCAGACTATAATGATGACTGTAATGAGGCCCGTCCATCACTTAGGCGTTGACATGACCTTTTTTGCAGCCTGAAAGGCTGTGCAAGATCTGTGAAAATGCGAAAAATGCCGCATGATTGGCACCACATGATATTACTTGGTAGTGGCAGCATAGGTCAAGTAACATCAATAAGTCAATAATGTACAATAATGTATAATAATGCAAAATAATGCGTAATAATGTAATATCAAGTCAGGTATGTCATGAGAAGTCTCTTTCCAGCCTCTTTTCCCCAACGCAATTCTGCCACCTTGATGGGAGTCTCGCCTTGCACATGAAAGGAGGTTCATCATGGCTCATCAACTCGCAGCAAAATGTATGATGCATTGTGGCATTGTGATACTTATACCATCTTAAAACTATATATATCCTATACCATCCTGTACCTATACATGAATGGAAGCTTGTGGGGCACCTAAAGCAGCGGAGTTCAAGGCCACGTTCTTTTGAAGAAGTTCAACTCCCGGAAGCAAGTCAGTCAGTACCTGCGGCACGGAGAGAACAATTTCGGATCCACAGAAGAAGTTCTCTCTCTCCTGTTTTCTTCCTTTCTTTCTTTTCTTTCTTTCTTTCTTTCTTTTCTTTCTTTCTTTCTTTTCTTTCTTTCTTTCTTTCTTTTCTTTCTTTCTTTCTTTTCTTTCTTTTTTTCTTTTCTTTCTTTCTTTTTTTTCTTTCTTTTTTTTTCTTTCTTTCTTGTTTTTTTCTTTCTTTTCTGTTTTTTCTTTTCTTTTCTGTTCTTTTCTTTTCTTTTCTTTTTTTTATTGTCTTTTCTCTTCTTTTCCTTTCCTTTCCTTTTCCTTTCCTTTCCTTTCCTTCTTTCTTTCTTACTTTGACCATTTCCCGTGGAGCACCACTTCGGAAGCACCCAAGGCGCCGCAAACCAAGCCAACCAGCCCAGTGCCTGCACCTTGCATCTGCGACATGAAAACGGTCTCGTGACCAAATGAAATGAGCGTAGGCACCATGGGCAAAGTGAGCAAAGCGGGCACCTAGCTCCACCACACGTTTGCCACGTACCAACTCTGGATGGGCCTGCTATCTGCAGCTGCCCACTGTTTCGTGGAGCAATAAATTCGGGCCGGATCCAGCAGAGACTCTGACGCAAAGATGGGCACACATCGAATGAGCAGATGGCCTTGGATTTGGGATGATCTGGGTCAGGATAAGAAACTGCAACTCCAATAACAGTCATCGCTACAAACTCAACGCTTGGAAAGTGCAGCGCCATCTGAGATCATCTGAGCAACGTGCCAAACCACACATCCTGTGGAATCTTCTCCCTGGGTTGGACGCCAGTTACACTTGACATCACTTGACTATCTTTGCGGCAGGAAACTGAGGCAAAAGCGAGGCGTTGCTTCTTGACCTCTGTGTCACGATCTCAAACCACTTCACCATACAAGCCACGATAAGGATCACATGTGTCACATACAGCTACAGTGACCGGAGCAAACTCATATAGGACTATAATATAGGACTCTTTCTCAGAATGTCATATCATACATCACGATGATACATCTGATTTCAGCTCTTTGCCTCTTGTTCGACCATGATGCTCATAGCCTTGCGGGTGGACAATGGTTGGACAGCACTGACAGCAAAGCATCACCAAGGCCCGCGCAAGTTGCTTGTTGTCAAATGCCACAAATTGCTCGCCTCACCGCAGAGAAGATGCAAGTGGCAACGGGCACAAATGAATGAAATGTCAACTATCATGGTGGGTGCCTCGCCACGTGCCCGTGCGTATGATTGTCTTTACATTTGTGCTCTGTAGGTTTCTGTGATTGTTGTTTACGCGTTTAATGCTCTTTGCACTTAAAAGACTTGGCGGGTCGCATGCTGTGGATTGGTGGCCTACTCGAAGCAGTGGGCCAAATTGCAAGATCGGTTCCAAATGGGTGCCGCTAGTTCCAGTTTTTAGCTGCGCGAAATCCTCCACATTCCTCCACATTGCCATTGCCCCAGGTCCCTCCCAAACCCAGATTCTTCCGCTTGCAGGCATTTCCTCCGGAGGCTTCTTGCAGGGGCTTTGGGGAGTTACATGTTCATATCTTTTGCAGACAGATTTTGGCATACTTTCGACAGCCATACAACACAGATTTCTGACACTGCCCACGTCCTCTTGCCAGCATTCTGTGGCGCGTGCGTTTCGGAAATTGAAATTGGTGTTTGTATGTGACATGCTTGCAAAGTTCTCAATGTGTCTTGCATGCACGGCCCGGCAACTGGCCCGGCATAGGAATTCTGCGAAGCGCGTCTGTGCGTCCTTTTCTGGTTGGAGATCCAGCCCAAGAATGCCCAAGACTCATATTAGGATGAGACAATAAACCATCTTCACCCAGCTGAGAAACTGGCTACGCAAAGGGCCAGTGTATAGCAACTTGTCCTGAGACCGCACAGATTCAAGAATGCATGCTCCGAAGTACAGCTGTCAAGGATCGATCGAAATGCTCTGAGTGCCATTGCCAGCTCACGCTTGGTCAGCCTCACAGCACAGGAGCCGAAAGAATCGAACCAAGCTGGACAGGATTTCCAAGCAGCTGGCTCTTGGTCACCAAGGCTATCGACAATGGAAGTGTCCCAGCTCCTGTTTGATATGTCAGTGGCTACACAATGCCGGCGAAGGCCCCCCAACGTTGCAATCAACTGTCATTCCCCCATGGAAGTACGCCCCCCAACCGCCAGGAAAAGTCACCCCAACTTCTTCGCCCATTGTAAACGCAACACTAAAATGAAAAAGCGCAAAAAAAAACTATCATCCCAAATGTGCAAAACACCATGAGAACGCAAGTCGCCCCAATGGTTTCAAGCTATGGACAACAGTAACAAAACATAACAAAACAACATATTTCGATATCACCATGTAAACGCATGACTCACGCACGTTTGTGTAAAATATCTCTTTTGTTACAAAACGTATCTAGCTCTAATGCTCAAAGTGCAACAAGTACATCTAAGAAATGTCATCTTTTGGTTCGAAACACAATGCGAACGCATGATTCATGCATGCATTGATAACAAATCTATGGGGTTCTGATTCACATCTCAACTCAATGTTGCTGCAACCAATTATTCCCCACCTGGTTCTGCCTCAACCAACCAGTCTATTATAAGTACATTTGAACTGAGCCCCCAGGTGGGTCTTAAATCATGGGTTCCGAACGAGGCCAAAAACGAGATCCGGCAGCCATTTAGCAGCAGCCCAGCATCAGCCCGACAGTAGCCTAGCAGCAGGCCAGCATCTACTGTAATTAGATGAATCGATGGAAGTACTCTAGAATGGCACCCCCTGGCAGGGCGACATATGAAATGAATTTGCTCGACGGATTTGCTCGACGGTCACATGAATGAGCCAGGCATGACAAAACAACAAGTTCACCAGTGCAAACACAAGCTAAATGAAGCAATATTTACTTCTAAAGCATCATATTCCATCTTACACAACTGCTCCACAGCAACTAAACGCATGTTGGGGCGACTTTCCCGGGAAGTCTACAGTCTCCCCCAACTAAATTCAAGATTTTGGATCGGGCGGGGTGAGTTCACCATAAGCGAGTAGACAGGAGCATTTTGTGTGACTCTCACGCACTCCTCCCAAGCAATGAGAGCAAGCGGATCTCTTTTTGAGCCTCATCAGCTTGGCCACAACATGAGAGTCCAAAATGACAAGAAACAATGCTAAGAACCCCTAAGCAACCCTAGGAACTACTCTTGCTGCCTACAACAGACCACTTCAGTGAAAGGTGAAGATGCTAATAAGGCGAAGGGGAGACTACCAGCAAAGGCCCATGAACATGCCCCACACCACAAGCACAAGCGATTTCATTCGGGAGCCAAAGTACTCCTGTTGGGGCTCAGATCGCTTTGGCTTGAGGCCTTCAGGTTTGTGACGGCCTTTGTTTTCAGAGGCTACCCCTTCAGTTGTTGGCAGGTGAGGGCCTGCACGATCAGCAGGGCCAATTTCAGCTGAAGTTTCGCAGCAACTCTTCTGAGGAGCAAGACCTGTGAAGCACATCAAAGCTCACAACCAGCTAAGTTTGATATAGACTCGCTTGCTTGTGGGATCCCATTCTCTAAGGGGGCGTGAGACGGGAGCCCATCCGTGTCATGAATACCATGCATTTCTGCGAGCCAATTGTCCAAAAGAACAACTGGAAAGCTAAGCACGTTGAGCACATCTAAGCAAACTGCTTGAGCTGCTGTTGCAAAGGAGATGGAGATCAAAATCCTGGCTCTCAGAAGATCTGCTGAAGCAACCACAGCAACCATCGTCGATGGAACTTTCTGAGGAAACCACCCATCCGGCTGTAGAAGGGAAGCTGCTGACTCAAGCATCTGGACCTGATGAACAGCTGTTGCTGGATGGATGTGGTCCAAAAACGGAGGGAACTACGGCAGCCAGGAGTTCTTGTAGCTACACCGCTCCACGGGCCACAGGCCTTCTCAGGGGCATCATGGATCGCATCCACTGTGCCCTTACAAGAGCCAGCAATTGAAGAGACAAAGGATTTCCTAATTCATCCGAATTCTTGACATTCCGTTGCAAAATTGCAGAGTGAAATCTATGGAAGACAACCAGTGTGCCGACCACCATCCTTGGCATAGCACCTTGTCCACAACAACGGCCATGCTTCCCTTTGGGACCGCAAATGCCTACAAACAGCAGATCAGCATCCAAAGAGTGCCCTTGCACTTTTCATGTCCATCGCGTACATTGTGGATCATTGTGGCATAATACAGCATGCACCCGCCTATGTATTCGCACAGGCACAAAATCCCGATGGAATCACACGAATATGGTGTGGCGGTATGATGCATTCTTAACACCTTGGATCTTCCGAAACCGTGGCTTGTTTGGCACCTCAGAGGTGCGACAGTCTCCAAGCACACAAGACACCTCAGCGCTTCATTGGTGATCTCTCTCTGAATTGTTTTGATATGTTTTGATGAATTTTGACTCTCCAGTTCCAAGATGTTTCTGTTCATCCTTTGCTCTGACAGTCTGACAGTTGCTAGGCTATCCTGCTTCTCGGAGATACAATGTCCACTAGTATCATGAGTCATGAGAACCAAAGGTTGAGAAACATAGTCTTAAAACAGGCGAGCAGCATTGCTAAGATAAAGCCCTCTCACCATGCAATATGCAAGAGGTTGTGGACCCTCTCAAAGGATACTGGTTTTGCTGCTGCTGCATTGACGTGCATCTATGCAATATTCTTCAATTATCTTCATTGGAAGTTCTTAGAAATTGGTGGTGAAACAGTGATAGTATAGTCACTAAATAATATTCCTTCAATTCAGGTTGTTACACAAGCCAGTGCGAAGAGATGCTAGGGGGCCAGTCCGGTTAGATCAAAAGCCCTAGAAACCTCTTTCTCCACGCTGTGACACCCAGACGCGAGGGTTCTTGGCATGCAAGTCCTGAAGCAGGCTGGTGCTATGCGGAGTTTGTTGCCTGGAAACTTGAAATATCTTGAAATCATGTAACTCCTTCAGCTGAGCGATGAGAAACTCGGAGACATCCTGTCTTCATGGAGAACTCGCTGGGTCCAGTCCATGGTTCCACGCGTGGACTCAATTGCTTGGGCTTCGGCCACCAACATCAAAGAAGCCTGCTGTTTCTGAATGTTTCTGGCTAGCTCTCATGATGTGTCGCTAATGAGACGTGCACCACGTGGCCTGTGGGTACTCTTCTAGGAGTTGCAGGCCTTGGATATGGGACAGCCTTGGAAAAGCTATTGGAAAAGCCAAAAAAAGCAATGAAAAGATACGAAGAGTATGTAGCCTTCCTACATTGTCCTACATGTCAGCGGCCACACGGGAAACGAATTCTTTCTGTGCAACAAATTGGTTCAAATTCTGCTGTGTCACATTCCATCCAATGATGGCGGGGTGCTTCGCAGTGTGAAACCTGGTGACACATACGCCAAGGGACCTCAGTCCTGGCAAAAAAAGCTGCATCTACAGAATCTACACAAACGAATGGCTTGGAACCAGAAAATCAGACCTGTCGGAGTCGACATGTCCAAAGGGAGGCCAGCTATTGCACAGCGGCACCGCACAGCACTTAGACCGGCTGGCTTCCCGGCTTCCAGTCAAAACCGCAGTTCAAAGTATCGCCGAGCCAAGGAGTCCTAGACTACACTTGCACCCTGGGACCCCAAATCAAAAATGATAAGATATGATGTATTAGTTTGCAGCGCCCATAGTGTCCCGTGGTGCCTTGAGTTCAAGGGACCCATGTCCATGTCTTGCCTTCTGATCCCAGCTGTTCATTGCTTGCACGTGCCTACACCCCTCTGATATCTTCTGATGCTCACAACTCCTTGGCTTGGCTTGTGAGACGCAAGGGTCCCCGCAAGGGTAATAAGCTTTAATTCTTGCAGCGTGTGAAGCCAATTAAACGCCGTCGGCAGCGTCTGCATACCTTGGCGATAGAGCAGGGTTGACCCGTGCACAGGCTAATTTGTGATGTTGTTTTCCGTTCTTGTTCCTAGTGCCTAGGTCATCGAGCCTTAGGCAAAATTGCATTTCACCTTGGGGTCCGGGAAGCATCTCAATCGCAATCGAGCTGCCTTTGACCAAGAACCGAAGGTTGAGGTCTGAGCATGCTGCTTCTGTCCCAGGCTTCCTCAATCTGGCAGATTGGACCAGAACAGCGTCAAGTTGCCAAGGCTACTTGAGTTACATATATCATCCCATTTTACTCGGATTGGCAGAATATCCTGCAAGTTGAGCAGCGTCATCAGATGTTAGCAGGCACACGCCCCAGTTTCATTGATAGATATGAAACAACTGTCCCCTGGTGTCAGCAACAAGCTTACACGCTTTGCAATCCAGGAAAATGAAAATGTCTTTGTGGCACTCCGTCCTGAGAAGCTCCAGGTGGTCGCCGCGAAGGTTTCCTTGGAGCCTCTGCTGGTGCTTCGCCTGCATCCCCACAGGAAATGTTGGAGGATTGCGACTCGCGACGCGACTTCTTTTCGACGAACTCAATCTATTCATTGAGGAACAATCGAGGAAGCCTTGCAGACACAGCATGGCGCTTTCTCCTTGCCCTCAAGCCCTCACCCGGCCCTCCAGACCTGCGCTCCTTGCAGAAGCTGAGAAGGAAAATCCCTCGCTGCTCGTAGCAGAAGTACCTTATCAACACAACACTACTGTAACACCACGGTCCCTCAGATCCTCCACTCAAATCTTCTGTATTGGTGATATATGACAAGCGACCGTGGTGACTGGCCCATGCGTGGCCTGCTGAAGCGCATGTCGCATGTCACTTCAAACTTCATACCGCTATTCCTTCTATGCACTGCTATGCACTTCTATGCTGGCTTGCTTCCCGGTGTTTTCTGCTGCATCAGTGTCTCCCAATGATCTTACGTACATTCAAGCAACGGCTAGGATTTATCCAAAAAATGGGATGCGCAGCGAAACTACTGGTTCATCATCATATTCCATCATGTTCTCAGTTTCATCACATTGAATCATTGAAGTATACCAAATCTATTCAAACATTTACAGCAATGAGTTTTTGCCATGTCGGAGGTATGCTCCCATGACTCAATAAATTCGAAGCATTTCGAAGCATGAGTTTGTCGCACCTCGTTCAGGTCGAGCTGCAAAGGCAGGTGAACCCTGCCACCAAATAGATTCGCAAGAGAGTAAGTTAGTTACAGATAGTTACAGCACATACTTGCACAAATCTTGCACATACATGCACGTACTAAAACTACATATCACTACTCAATTTCACATGTAGGCACTGCTAGAATCTGCTAACGTTTCATAGGAACCCTTTGTTGGGTTCTTCATTTGATAGGTTCTTTGTCAAATGCACTGGTTCACAATGTCCCCAAAGAAAACTATAGAAATCTAAAAAACAAGGATGCAAATGATAAAGCACCGAATGCAGATCTTCTTGATTGGCGCCTGGGCCCGCTCATTTCCGATATCAAAACTCCTTGTTCTTGCCTGCAGGAGACGTGAAACTGAGAGCACTTCACACTACCCGCCGATGTGCACTCTTCCCACCATATCTCGTATACCGTACTATATATATATATACAGTACATGGTGTTGATGGTGTTGTCATGGAAGTCGTCATCAGGGCATCGGAAGAAGAAATGCCGTCATGAAATGTCATGAAATCCTGACGGCTTTTTGTGGCCATCCTGCCTCTGAATGAGAAGCCTCCGCACGGGAAGCGCATAATTTTGCTTGCAAAGCTTCCTCGGCAGCCGCCATTCAGTCAGAACAAATGTCAAACGTGCTCTGGCATGCCCCAAACATCCGTCGGGAATTGCCCCTAGCAAGGCACGGACTGAGAGACAAACCCAAAAGAATTCCAAAGATGCAATGATTGGCACAGGAAACATCTAGTAGTCTAGCAATGTCTAGCAATGTCTAGCAATGTCTAGCAATGTCTAGCAATGTCTAGCAATGTCTAGCAGATTCCGGCAGCACAGTGTATCGCACCATCTGGAGATTTTGGTGTCTGGAGCCAAGTGTCCAAAGACTTCGTTGCACGTTGCCGCGCATCCTCGAGTTTCACGTCATTCAGCGCAAGTTCCCGGGCATTTGGCCTTCCCAGGAGTGTCAAGAGGTCCAAGGACTGCGAATTAACAAGAGCACTGGAGTTTCAATTGCGAATCTCTCCATCCAAAGTACTAAAACATGTGCAAACAATGTGAACAACTCTGTAGTTTATGAATTATCATCGCATCCAGGATCGTCCAAACATGCATCAAGTTGAAGTCAGATCAAAACACGACCGCTGCCTTGGCAATTCTGAGGCACAAAGTGCTGCCTGTGGCCGAGCTCAGTTCCATGAGAAATGCCTAGTCAGATCTAATCAGATCTAATCAGATTGATGGAATAAATATCCTTCTCTGACTCACATTGTCACATGATTGTCACATGGCTCTCGTATGTTACCTAAATGCCCGATGGCCAACTGACGCAACTGACCCCACTTGGCCGAAGACTTAAGCAGCTGTCACGCTCACAGAATCAAACATCCAGAGCTGCAGTGCCTCCCGCAAAATAGATCCGGAGCTATCTGCCGAACTGGGAAGCGAGCCACTTCTCGAAAAACGGCTCCTCACTTGCGAAGCCAAGGGCAGCTACAAACATCTCCAGGCTACTGATAAAATTGGATGTGTGTTGTTTAATGCCGTATTCTCTCACTATCTCTCTCTCTCTCTCTCTGTCTGGGTTGTCTGTTTGCCCGTTTAGATTTATATCTATGATTTCCGACATAATGTGAAGTATTGTGAAGTTGACTATAGTTGTCTCATGTTGTCTCTAGATTTCTTCCTATGTTTTGAAGTCCTCCTGGAGGCTGTGGACCTCTTGGAGCCCGGTGATGCCGTCGATGGCAAGCTCATTTGTGAGCCAGAAGTCGTTGGACGAAAAGAGCCCAACGTGTCGATGTGCTTTCCTTCGAAACGCTCTTGGGCTTGGGATTTTAAAACATTTATTGATGCCACTTGATGCCATCGACTTTTTGAAACATGTGTATCAAATCATTGACCAGGATTGGTCAGGATGACCATGCCTCTTCCAACCCTATCCAAAAATTGGATCATATCCAGACTTATCATACTTGGATGTCGCTGGTTTCAAGGTCTCTGGGGGGCATGTCGCAGATTGCTCTCTCCGTATCCTGTCGAGGTATTCAAAGTAGATGCGGTGGATTGACTTGAAAATGGCCGTGCTTCCCACGCCTGAGGCAATCGCGGCAGAATGCCAACTTTTGCCCATGGAACCCAAAAGCTGGACGGGAAATGACGGGACATGACGGAAAGTGACCATGGAAGGAAGTTGAGCTGGCCTCCGTGGGTTGCCGTGCTTTCGCAGGCTCATCTTCATTCTCATCCTGTCAGGTCACGCAAGAAATCGTGATTCTCACAAACTCACATGCTCGCTCGCTCACACAACACAAGCTGAATATACAAATCAGAGGGCCAGCGCACAGCTGGCACACATTTTATGCTTCTTTCGATTCACTCGTCAACTCAACACATCTCTGATATCCTTTGATCATTGCAAATAAGGTGCCTCTGTCTCTGAAACCTGGGTGTCCATCATGCTTTGTTCTCCACGGGGTGTCATTCAAAATAGAATCTGCAACCAGCAAATTCACAGGCAGAGTGCGAGGTAGGCTGCATGGCACTGCTCTGTACTTAGTGACATTGCCAAGGAACCCCTGACCAAGCCAGCCTCAGCTTGAGCTGTCAACATATATCCAGCACAAGTAATGACATGTTCATACATGGTTTGGATATGGCATCGTTCAAGTCGAGCAGCGGCAGGCATCTTCTAGCAGGCCGAGCCTACATAATCTCAAACGCACCTTCTTTTATCTTCTCTCATTTTTCCAAGTCATGTCAACTCGTGCAAAATCTGTGAAATTCTGAAGATTCCAGCCTCTTTCTCTTGCAATTCATGATGTCCAATCGTTCGAGGATTTGGATTTGCAGAGACATGTCCTTGACAGATCTTGACAGCACCGAGGACAGTCGCAGCAGTCGCAGCAGTGGCAGCTGCGGCATTGAGGTGTTGACTAGCGCCTCTCGGGGATGAGGACGGTTGCGCGCCCATTCGTCCAGGTGGCGCCTCGAGAAATGCTCAGCTTTGTCGCGTTGTTTGATTCATCTGACTGCAAGGATGTTGAAATGCATGAACATCCTTATGCCAAGTAGCTGTTACTGTTGAGAATCTCGGATTTGAAGTTTTGAGCCAAAGCCACAACAAGGTTCAAGCTTTCAACATGCCTTGACACTTGAAGAACACACACAACAACCCTGGGCTGATACACGATTGCATATGCGTACGACGAGTTCAATAGCCATCAGGGTATCAGTGTATGTACGTATATATATATATATCACCTTGCATATATCACAGGCAGAATGCAATATACATATATGCAGTATATACACACACAAAATTACGTGAGTATTTGAGTATTGTATTGTCGTTTTAAGGTGGTGGCGTACCCAAAATGTAAGCTGCATGTTTCAAGGTGTTTTTGAGGGGCTTACATTTTGAAGGTATTTTGAAGACCCTACCCACAAAAACGACACCTGGCGGACGTTCAGCGACCAATTTTACACTTAAGGGGGGCTCCCAAAAAATGTATCTTACATTTTGGTATGGTCCCCTGAAAAGTAGCCTTAAAGGGAAAACGAGAGGTGAACTTCTCGAGCATCCCTTTCCGCCCATCTGAGATCATCTGCTGAAGGAGCTGGTCCCGCATCCGAGGTCCAAAACGCCAGGTGGATTTCCACCTGAGCATTTCAGACGCGCTTGGAAGTTTGAAATTGTGTTGTGCCATTAGTCCCTAATTAATGTTGTATAATATTTATCATTATCACTATTAATATTGTATAATATTGTTATTATTAGTATCATCATGTATCATCATTTTTTAATTAGTGATCACTTTTTTCAACCTGAGCAAGTGTACCACCCCTGGCCTTCTGTCACTGGTCGCTCCAGCAAGCTTTGCAGAATGGGCCTGCAAGCTGGTGCATGAAGGGGATTCCGAATGATGTCCCATGTGTTCTCTCTAGTCTATACCGTACCCATCCCGTCACCTCAGCAAGTTGCGAACATCGTCATAGGTCAGGTGCCACTCGGAGCCTCTTTCCACCAAATTACACTGCAACACTTCAGCTGCATAGATAAAGCACCAAATCAATCCATATCATGCACTGTAACGTGTTAAGAATGAATGCCAATGCCATGCGCCAGCGAGTCATCTTTTTTCGTCTTGCTGCTTGAGTAAGATTGAAGACGGATCATCTCCAATCTCCCTCCAGTGCAGAACTGGAACGTTGCACCCAGCAACCCTTCACACCTCACATAGGGAAAGTAGCAAGCGCTTTCGTGGCAATCAATACTCGCAGTCTTTCCTCTCTGATAGCCAGAACTGAAACTGAGAAAGCCGCCTGGGTCGGAAAGCCCGCTATCGCCCTGGCCAAAACTAAAGTACACGCAATTTGACGCAAATTTGGTGCAGAAACTTGAAAGCTGTTGCCTAGCAGGAAAGTAAAATACGTTGCTAAGGAGCTGACCATATCGCATGCCCACCGTGCCCACCTGCTGAGGAATTCCGAGGAATGTCAGCCCCAACTGTGAAAATGATCCGCATGAAGCCCTTGGCTTACACATACTGACCCAGAACAAGACAAGCCTTCCTCGGCTGGGGCTCCAATGAGGCCGCATACCATTCTGGGACTCTAGGATAGACAAGAAGGCTGGCCATCACCTGTGTTGGGGTTCAAGTAAAAATCAGCACAACGCGGTACGTTTTGCATCAAAATACACTGCTCAAGCTCTGAGTGATGAGCCATAGGAGTGATAAACAAATACCAGAGCAAGCTGTGAGATGTGCCCACCACAGCCTCATCAGCTGTGAGAAATTGGGTTTGTCTGAAACTAGGGTACTTCTAAGTTTAGTGGTTAATCACCGTTTCCCTAGTAAGTTGGCCATTTGTGGGGTGTACCTTGTTTTCAGTACCCTATTTGCAGACACACCCAAATTGGACCTCCGCTCTCCATGGGCAATGTGTGCCAAGGCCACTTTTGAGGCCAGGGCCACGTAGGGGAAAGCTCCAAATCCAAGACTCAGGACACAGTACCTCGGATCAACTTGGATCAACTCAGCTCGGGTGTCAGAAATTGCTTGAGGAGAAGACGGATCTCCAGGGTGAAGCAACCAGTGTGTGGCAGCCACAAAGCCAGCTGATGTTACCAGGCCAGCAGCCAAGCGAAGTAGGGAAGGGCTTGTTGGCCTGAGAAGTTTCACCAGAATTCTGCCGGCAAGTGAACCAAGCAGGGCAACGGAGCACAAGTTTGCAGGATATCTTCTGAATCTTGGTGGCATGATTCTGGCATGATGCCTCATGAGAAGTGCCATGAAGGTGGCTGCTCCTTGAGTACTTCCGCCTTGCCCATAGCGATAGGAAAAGAGGAACCACCAGGAGTAACATCTCACATTGCAACAGATCGCACCAGATTGCAGCATATTAAACATATTGCAACGATTGCCAAAGTGCAGAAGGCAGAAGAGCATTCTCCGTGGCATACCGTGCCTGTCTCTCGAAAGGCCCTTGTGACTTGCTGTGCCTGCTTCGCAACATAGGAGTCAAGCTGCACGTGCAGGACTGGTTAAGTGAGCGACACAGTGAGGCCCTATCCAATTCCTGCAGGACTCCTGTCATGCTGCCATGCGCTCCTGTGTACGCATCCAACTTCCCTGATATGCTTTGAGATCTTTGAGAGCATAGGACTTGCAAGATCTTGCAAGTCCCAGTGCTTCCCGATTTGCCACAAGGAAAGGCCTGGAATCTCAGCTTTTGTCCCTCGATGATGGCTGCTCTCTTCTGTTCCACCAAGGCAGACTGGCTCTTGTCCTGCCAACAACTGCAAGTAACGAAGCAATTCCTGGCCTCTCCGTCACATGTTTGGGTCAGTTGCGGCAGTTTTTTCCCTTTTGAAGAAAAACTGGAAGCGAGCGACCTGAGTGCTGGAGCTAAATCTCCGCAAAGCGAAGCATGGAAGGAGCCTGTTGTTCCTCGGGAGCGACTCACACAGCGCATGCAACCGCTAACAAACTTGCCCCCTTCCCCCTGGTAATGAGCATGTCTCATATTTCTCAGAGTGACAAACGAAACCGCTCAAAGTCCAGACAACGCGTCGCAAGCGCTGTCTTTGAAGCCATTGCGTGGGCACCCACTCTTGTGCAATCCAGACAGAACAAAAATAAGTGGGAAAGAAAAGTGCCGTGTGGCAGCAGAGATCTCCAAGTATCGCCAATGTCATGCTCCAGGCCTTGCCAGTCAGTCATAAGTCATATGTTCAAATGGCTCAATTCGTTCCTTGTGGATTTGAATACAGGACATAGCCGAGCCCTTTGAGCCTCAACAGCTTCAGATTGAGAAGTGCAATGCCTAAGAGGTTGATTTCAAGAATGCACAAGGACACTTGCTTCCAGCATATCATTGCAATATCATGCAGCCACCTGGATGACCAGAGTGCCATTTCGACCAATGGCTGTTGTAGTCCTGAAACTTGTTAGTCAGGGCCCAGTTCCGGCGAGATGCCAATGCACGTTTCTACAGCAATGATTTCTCCGAGGTGCTGTTCATGACCTCTTAATATCTCTTGATTGCTATTGATGCTACTGCTCATTTCATGGGAGATTGAAAAAATGTCGTCAAGCTCCGGACTTGTGGAGTGCCATCGCTCTCCTCATTCATTCGTCGCTTTGTTTATGACCCGACCCACACACAAATGCTAGGCCAGCAAGGTGGGAAGATGAAGAAAGTGGCCCATGCAGTTCTGGATTTATATCAAGGCTATTTGTTTGACTCGCTTGAATTGTTTGAGATTTGAGTTCTTGGAGTTGGCGGTTTCAATATGATGACGTGTGACATATTACCGAGTCCCATCGTACTTGTTGAAACTAATACTCCAAAGCTGGGTGTTGCTTGCAACCCGGATCGAAAGAGTCGTAGTCGCATGGCCCTAAATGTCTTCTCGTCACTGTGAGAAGCCTGGGAAAGTCTGGAGCCACAAGGCAAAAGGCAAAAGTACAAAGCAATGTGGAACACTGTGGAACACCATTCCTTCCGCATGATCCTCCTGACATTCTGATTCCGGCATGTGCCACTCACTTCTCTTGCTTTTTATCTTCCCTCGGCTCAGCACTTGGAACGAAGCTCCAAAATCTCCAAAGCTCTTGTGTGCTTGCGCTGCGTCTGCCTCTCTCAGCCCACATCATGACATCATGTACCAGCATTCGAAGTCTCCCCCTGCTGCTGGGCTTCAAATCTATCACTGCAACCCCCACCAGCAGTCCAGAATGAACATGTAGTCCAGAACACCACTGGACTGCTTCAGGCTGCCAGATCAGGAGAAGACAATTCCATCAGTTCCAGAAACAGGAAATCATGACGATTCAGACAAATTCTGGCACCAACAGCAGGTGATCAACGCATTTCCCCTCCTTCTGTTGTCTCTAGTCTATGAATCCACCTGTGGAAGGCCAAGTGCTTCCATGTGCTTCCTGAATCCATGGCTCTTTGAAGAAATCAGCTTTGAAGTTGACAGGATTTCACAGGGCATTGCTTGGATGGCGTGGATATGTATGGATGGGAGCGATATGATCTACAGACATCCGCAAACCCAGGCCTGCTTCCCATGCTGAGGGAAACTTCCACCAAGGATCCCATTGATCGCATGTCATGGGACCAAATTGACCAAGGATATGGGGCTCTCTACAGCTCTCTACAGCTCCTGATCCTTCTGTATCTTCTGTTCTTTTAAGTTCGACAACAGCTCCACCATCGAGGCATGGCCGGCCTGGTCGCTCTGGAACAAAATGCGCCGGCAACACTACCGCCATAGCATGCAGTGAAAATGGACCAAACAGTGGAACACACATTGATCTTTGCCCAGCTTTGTTGTTGATATTGTTTGAATCAGTATATATATATATATTTATTTATTTACTTATTTATTTATTTGTATGAGTATATATATACCATATATATATATATACATGTTTTCCATGTTTGGCTCTGGGGAAGAAGACTGGTTTGCTTCAGCTCAGCTGGCCTCTCTTGCACGATCGATAGGTAGTAGCCTCTTTCGAGTGCTGGCATCCACTGACGCGCGGGCATTCAGCCTAATAGTGCTGCATCGATTGTTTCAACATGTTTCAATTCAAACCATTAAATTGAATCCAACTTAGATGTCTGATGCTGCTAAGTCGCAAAACCTTTGCCACTTCTGTGTGCCCACCAGCAGCTGCCACATGCAATGGCTGGCTTCCATCGATTGCCTCAAAAAAGTCTTGAAAATGGTGACTTGGCATGGCTTATCACATGCAGAAACAAGCGGTGGACCCCCCACATTCAAAAATTCAAAAAGCTACTAAGATAGCAAAGGAAGGGTACCCCTACAGACGCTGAACACCGCCTTGCCAACAAAAGTGTAGCCACCTCCGGCCGGCCATTTAATGCAGCCATGTGAAGTGGGGTAATGCCCCCTCGTGCAGTAGCAGTTGCCAAATTGGTGTCTTGTTGCAGCAGCCAGTCCGTCACTTCCAAATGCCCATTGCTCGCTGCCAAGTGGATGGGTTGCATCTGCGACGATGCCGGCTCCGCCACAGAGAGACCTTCTCTTTGAAGCCAGGCCGCAACTTTGGAATGCCCTGCCTGGGCTGCGACATGCATTGGACTTAGCTCTTCGGCGTTCATCTGCGGACTGCTACCAGATCCTGACACTCTGTCAATGATTCTGTTGCAATTTGAAGCAGCTTACAACTCTATATATATATATATACAGCCTTGACGACCTTCAATATTCAGCCCTGAAATGGACGGATTGTCTGCTTCTGCGGCCTGTATCTGTGCTGCTCACTACTCTAATAATACCCAAAATGAGTCATGAGGGGTAGGGCAGGGTAGGGGATCCAAAGATATCTGGAAATGCCGTCAGTGCACTTCAAACACGGACAACGAATGCAAAACAGTCTCCTATCAATGCAGCCGCCAAATGGTTTGCTACAGCTTCGCCTTTTGTGCTACTGGACTTCCGGTCCACATCACGCTGGACTGATAGCGTCACCTTCGACATCAAAAGGGAGAGGACGGCTGTGTGCCCGCCATGTGCAGCCCAGTACACCAACGAGTCTTGTCCTTTCCCTGTCACATCGCCTCTTGCCTGCAGCAAAGAGCTAAGGATTGCTGTATGGCCACCTCGCGCTGCTTCATGTGACGGCCTGTGACCTGCTGCATCGCTCTCGTTGACCAAACCTGGGACTTGCTGCAGGATGAGCTCTGTCGCTGCTAAGTGGCCATTCTGCACTGAAGCATGTAAGGCATTGCCACCATCCCCCTGCACCGAGCGAAAGTCTGTCTCGAAGTTATGCAATTCCTTCAACAAATCTATTTGCCCATTGGCAGCTGCAATGTGCACCAGCATACGGTTCTGGGATCCGCTAGCAGATCTGGCCAAGCTTGGGGCTGCTGTCAGCAAGTCTCTAACTGCATTTAACTCACCTGCTTCGGCTGCCAAGTGCACTGGCAAAGACTGTCGTTCAGAGAGGGCAAAAGGATCTGCCCCATGCTTCAGTAACAGATGGAGGGCGCTAACATGTCCAGCTTCAGCAGCATAATGTAAAGGTGTGAAGCCCTCAGCTGGGTCTTTTGCATTGACGTCGGCATCTGCTTCATCAAGCAGCTGGCTTGTTCCAGACAGATTTCCGATCATGACTGCAGTGTGTAGCTTGGAAGCTGCCCTGCGGACGATAAGGTTGAAGGCAAAGGAAACACGGGGCACTCCAGTGCGGAAACTGTGCCCTGGCTCCACACCATGCGGCAGAGTGGCAGGAAACACCACCATCGTTCCAGCATCCGCGTCAACACTGCAACTTGGTGATTCAACAACCTCAGCCGGCACCTCATCACAAGCTGCAAAGTGGAGTTTAGCACCTCCACTTGGCCCTTCAGGATAGTACACACCAGACAGCAAAGGAATGTCATCACCGACTGCACCAATCTCAGCATGTTGATGCTCTACATTATAGTCACCTGCCTCATGAACGTTCACCCAAAGAGCTGCAAAGCGAACCCTGCTTGCTCTGGTCTCTCTCCACAGTTGGGATTTTGGTGGCGTCCACTTCTGCAGGAAAAGTGCGGCAACATCCTGCACTCGCTGTGCCAGTTCAGAGAGGACAGTAGCATTACCTGCATCATCTGCATCTGAAATATCTAAATATCGGCTGTGCCAACCACCACGGTTGCTGCGGGATAGTCCTGGCTGATCCCACAAGGTCAATGCGAAGTTTCGAAGGTTTCCATCCAAGCGGGATGGCTCAAAGCCAGCCTTCAGCACTGCCGGGCCCAGCCATGTTTCAATCCGCATCTGGAAAGGCCATGTGTGAGGCTTAAAATGAAATGCTACCAGTGCTGGCGGGGCCATGCCCATTTGCATAAACATTTTATCAAACGGTGCCAAGTTCAAGAGATGATCTGGGCCAATCTCCTCTCAATCAGCAACTGCATGTGCGACCGTGTTTTTTTCCAATTTTTACTGCTAGCAATTCACGTTTGAATCGAGACGGTGAAACAAATGGAATCTAGGAAAGTAAGGAAAATGAGCCGAGCACACACCAAGTGCAAACTCAGCACCTGTGCTGAGCTCCTGTGAGCCTCAGAAGCTTTCCTGTCGTGCATTGGCCTAGCATCGTTCCTCGAGACCTCCGATGACCTCTGTCTTCATCATACCATGTGGCACCATGTGGTGCTTGTAAGTCCGAGAGGTCAGGAGCTGGGAACGATTTGAGACAACTTGCCTTGGCTGGGACAATGGGCAATGCGGCAGCGATAGATAAGGCAGCCATGAGATGAAAAATGAATAAAAATAAGCCCAGGCCCAGGATGGTAGGAAACCCGGACAGCAGCCTGTGAACTCCACAACTGAACCCACACTGGAAGAACCTCCGAAACGACCATGGGAACCACAATGGGAACCTGCACCACAATCTCCTGAATCACCCGGAACCAATCCCGGAAAAGACATCGGAACCCCCGGAACCACCACACCGGAACCTCCAACCATCCCGGAACCCACACCACAATCCACATGGGAACCCACAACGGAACCTCCCGACCCAAACAGCACCAGAACCTCCGGAACATCCTGGAACCAGCCCGGAACCCGCAAAGCTAAGGCTAGGGAAACATGTTAACTGTTAAAGAGTTAAAGTTAAAGATGCAAAAATGATAAAAAAGGAACAATCAAACATGCACCAAGCTGCCAACAATAGATTTGGCCTTGGCCTTCTTTTCTGCAAGCTGGCCTCATTTTTTGCAACAAGTCCTCTGACAGGAATGCTTGGACAACTCTGCAACCATCACCTGTTTCTGTACCATACTGTACCTAGATGTGCCTATTGTACAGGGTCGTCGACCGGGTCGAGCCGGGGCCGGGTCAAGCTCTTGTTGCAGCTCAGGCGCCGTCAATGTCATTGTCTTTGACGCCGTTCATGGCACACATCTTCTCATAGAGCGAATTTTGCTCAGACTCCAAGACCAGTAGCGAATTCAGGCCTCCACCCAATCAACGGCATCAAAACCAAAGCCAAAGCCCCTGTGAACATTGCATCTACAGGAGCGACAAGAGCTGTCTAAATGCAGGCGGGCATCAGTCATTGACAAGCTGGGTTCTTTCTGAAAAGGCCTGCATACTGCTCTTAGCCAATACAGCACTCAGCGGCCATGATTGCACTGTCGACATGCTGTCTTGTTCAGGGTGAAACCATGTGGGTGCTTCTCCACCATTTCACGCCAAATAGTGAAATGGCACGTGGCAGTTGACAGCACAGACAAAGAATTACGAAGGCCATGGCAGCCGCATTGCAGTGCACCCCACAACAATCCACTCAATGCATCCAACATAATGCAATTCAGATCAATTCAGTGTGTGCAATGTGCGGTGCAGCCTTGCTAAATTCCCGCAGTCAACAAGTTTTATTATGTAAATGGCCATGTTTCAGCACAAAGCTGAGTAAGCTGCGCTTATGTGCGAATAAACAGGTGTGTGAAACATGATATATAAGTTCTCTCCGTCTCTCTCTCTCTCTCTCTTTCTCCCTGGGGTATCAGTGAGGGCGATCATCTACCATCTGCTCTGCCTATGCATCACTGCTACTTATCGACGGTTGGATTTAGATGATTTAGATAGTCTATCTGCGCATGCACGTGCACAAATATGCCTATAGTTTTAGAATATCATATCGTACAATCACATACCGATACACCTCAATTATATACTCTGCCTCTCTGCCTCGGACACACTTTTCTTGAATCAGTGTGTCTCTTCGCCTGACATTTGTGCATTCGGCTGTTTATGGTCTTGTCATGTCTTGTCTTCTTGATGTTTCTTGACTTGCCCATTTCTCTATCGTCCCAGTTCCGTTCCCCTCCACAACCTGTGTACAGTTTATGGTCAGTTTTTTGGTCCTTGTTCAGCTTTCCATTTAGAGTTTGCAGATGTTGAGTCATCGTTTTTCTTGGATTCTTGGCCACCTTCATGGCAAGTACTCTTATGTCTTGCCTTTCGCTTACCTCTATAATATACATATATATATATAAACATATAATAACATATATATATATATATAAAATATAATAATATAATATAATATATATATATATATATATTCATCTCCAATCCCTCCATCCCAGGACATATGATAAGCATAAGCGTATGATTGATCAATCCCCCGTTGCCTTGGAGCGGTCCAAGTCCTCACGGGCTTTCTTCAGCTCCAGTTCCTTTTGTCTCAGTTCAAGGCCCAGCCGCTCTTGCTCCTGTCTTCAGCCCAGTTGCCTTAAACATATATTGATACTTTACTAAGTGCTTCACTGACTTAAAATGCCTTTGTAATCTATTCCTACTGTTTAACATTGTTTAACTATAATTAACTATATATGTCTAGTAAGTTTAACATGTTCATATCCTCTGATCTCTGCTCTGAACCAGTGCTCCTCAAGCGGAGCACCGTACCTGAGTAGATGCAATTCATGAAGCGCAGCCTGTTTCACTCACGCGAAATGCACCGGGGGAGAAACCTAGTATATAAAATTATATAAATACACTTCTATGTTCATTCATTCTATCCAAATATGTGTTCATTCACGTTCTATCCAAACATGACAATTGTCTGGAAGGCTGTGTGCCGCACAGCTTTTCACCGTCCAACGTGACGTCCAGTGGTGCCTGACTCGAGCAGGCTTAAGTCTGCCAGCATCCATGATTGTCAACAGGAAACATCTGATCACCATTGGTCACTGCTGTCAATGTAGCCTACCCTTTCGGATCACTTCTGTGCTGTCCCTGGGTCAATCCAGCCTTCATATCGTCTTGGTTCGCACTTTCCAGCCGCTTCTTCCTGAGCAAGACACGCGACGATCTTTGAGCCTGGTTCCGTGAGAGATCATGATTTGCCAGTGCCAAGCTTGGTCCAAGCCCTGTAGTGCTGTCATGTGCTGTCTCAGCTTCAATTTCTCATTGGTAGCCGTCAAATGAGAGTTCTCCTGGAAAATGAAAGCCACTGCTCTTGAAACAACCGGCGACATCAGTGACAATTAACAATGAACAATGAAATACTGGCAATGCAAACACCAAACAACATGCTGACTCTTTAAACATCGACCTGCACAACTGCCAACATTTCTCTCTCTCTCTCTCTCTCGGCGGCAAAACAGGAATATCCGCGTAAACCCATCTAAACAAAATCTGGAGAAAAAAAAACAAAATGACTTGCACACTGCACTGCGAAGACAGAGGGACACACATTGACACACCACACCATGGTATGTAAAATTATGTAAGTGGCTAAGGGCCTACAGAGTGTCTGGACGTGAAGGCTCTTGAGAGTTGTGCAGAAAAAAAAATCCGCATCTTCTTGTCATCTTCGCATCTTGACAACTTGGGCCGACTTGGGCCTGGTTCAATTTGCGGATGTCTTCTTGCGCTGCTCGGAAGCGATCTTTGAAATAGTCACCTGGAGCAACCCTCATCGAATCATATCGAATCATCTGCATTCCTTCTCCCCTGGAGTTCGTGCCATTTCGTGCCGATCAGTCACCACTAGTGACCACTTCATACCACTTCTCACTGCACATCCTCAAAGAGCCTGCAGAGTTCTTCTCGTCCAAAGTCTTCTGCGCTTCATCCCTTTCTCGCTTTGCTGTTTTTAGCTCCTCTCCACAAGAAACCCTGAGATGCACCATGGTGAGACTGCGGCATGAGGGTGCTTGTGCTCCTGATTTTTGAGGTCCAGTTGCTTTTGGAGGACCTCGTGCACAAGGCATAGTCACAGTATGTTGCAGTTTGCGGCTACCAGCTACCAGTCAGTGCAAGATCATCATAAGCTGACCCTGCAATACCATTGCCTTCATGTGACCAGATGCATCTCCACGTCCACTAACTGCTTGAGTCATGAGGCCCATGGCCTGAGACAGTCATCAATGTATTCATTGGGAATGCTTGTGTGGAGCTCGGGCATCTACAGACTGCAGAGCAAATTTGAGAACCATCACTATCATTCACTACCTTCCTATTGTCTTCGCTGTTTTTTCAACAAATGTTCATGGTTTTTGTATGTTTTTGTTCTTGCCGCACATGGCTGGCCAGGCCTGAGTCATCTCTGCGTTGAGCTGTTTGGCCTGCTGGAATTCCTGCAGTGCCGACTGAGTGACAGTTAAGGCTTGCTTGCATGACATCACGGGGCCGCCTTTTCAAGAGTTTGCGCCTTTCTCTTCCATTTATCCTCGGCCCGGCATCGACGCACAGAGCAATCATGTTGCTATCACAGTCTTTGGGGCAAATCTCACTGTGACTGGAATGACTGGAATCCCAATGTCTGCAAGTATACATACCTGCAAACACCAACCGCAAACTAATGGAAACAATGAATGTGCAAGTCAAATACACGCAAGCTGAGACCATCACAACCTCTGAGTCTTGCTGCGCTTTCCTTTCTTTGTGCGACTGTATCACAGTTCCAACAGCTTGGCTTGACAAGAGAACCAATTTCCGGAAATCGTTTCCGGAAATCGTTTTTCCAGTTGAAGACAGCCGGACATCCACAATTGGAACACACCAAAACGTCTCATAATTGGAACCTCGCGATATCCTACCATACAAATGCAAACAAGAAGCAAGACTTCATCAACGATCTGGCGCATCTTTGAGCGTTCAGAATTGGCATCTGAAAGCTCTGCCTGCGCAGTGTAAAGCCGACAAAATTTGCTGAGATTCGCTCAGCAGTGTCGCAGTCTGCAGCACCAATACTCACCCCATCTCACCCCACCCTCAATCGATCGCATTCAGACTGCAGCCATCGGTGCGAAGACCTGAGTGTTCATCGTCCGGGACACTTGAGGCTCGAAACTTGCTCATCTTACTCGATCAGATTCTATCATTATCATTCATTATCCTACTCCTGTTGTGTCCGGTTTTGCGTCAGAGGTCCCCAACTCACTTTGTGTCTTGCTTCTTTCAGCTGCTTCCGATGCCTGATGCGCTGCCTGGCGCAAGGGCGCTGCATCGGCATCCCAAAGTGTGTTCCATTGTGTGCTACCATTGCTACCCACCTCCAGTTGGTCCTTGTATCCTCGAAGTTGGTCCAGAGCATCACCTCATGCTGTGGCAGGGGCGAAAGACATCGAAAGACATCGAAAGACATCGAAAGACATCGAAAGACTGGAAGCTCCAAATGCGTTTCCAAACGCATACAAATGCTAGCTACCAGCTACCAGTAGCTCTGGAAATATTCCCACTCTCAGCTCAAAATTGAACGCGGTCGAGGGGCGCTCTCGTTGGGCAGAGGCCGAGGCTGTTGCCTGACCCAAGCTGACACTGTGGCTGGCATTTTGCATCATTTTGCCAAGATAACAAAGGCTGTGGTGCTGATAGTTGCCAAGCAACGAAAAAACAAACATTCTCTGCCATCATCTACACTTATGCCAATGTAGACTCCTCACTGCACGTGTATCTCCATGTCTGAGCTGACATCTACACTGCATCACTGTCTTGAACAAGCAGTCACGTCACTCTTGCTTTACTTACATAACATGTTTCTAATGAAGTATTAAAAGTTATAGTTATTAAATCTATTTGGAAAGTCGAACAAATCAAACATGTTCAAGCCTCAATTTGCTGTAGCTGACGCTGCAGAAGTTCTTTGTCTTCCTCCGCTCTCATGCATCGTTGTTGAGCAGTGATGACCTCTTCCTGGGCCTGGTGCAGAACAATGCTAGAAAATGCAAGCATGTGAACATATGCATGAACATCTGATGTATCGATATGCATTGATGATAGCTATGGCTACCTGTATGCCCTACGGATTTCTCTAGGCTTTAGCATCCCTAGCTGTGTGGTCTCTCTCGCCGTCGGGCATAGCTGCGTGGCTGTGTGGTCTGTGGAATGTTCTCTCTCTCTCTCTCAATTTTGCCCATAGCTGTGTGCTGTGTGCAAACGTCTGCAGAGCAAAGGCGGCACATCAATCAACCTCACTGAGCTCGAGTAGGCCCAATGTTGGTTTCTCAAATATGGTTTCTCAAATCATGTCAAGCTCTGGCCTGGACCAATTGCTCTTCTGCTGTGCTAACTCGTTTCCGAAGTGACGGCAAGTCAGTCTCCGCATTAAGCAGCGACGCCTAGGCACGAATAGGTCGAAACAGAATAATATATATATATATATAACGGCAGTGGCCAGTCAGCATGGGCCCCAGGCAAACTATCTGGCACAAAAAAACGCAATTTGTGCCGGGGCACAAAAACCCACAATCCAACACAAAAAAACTTCTTGAGATGCGCTTAGTCTAAAATCTTCAAAATATTCAGAGGGCCTGGAGTTCGTTCATCTTTGCGGACTGCTTCTTTGACAAGGCAGACTCCTGTCAGTGGTGCAAGCTCCAACTGTCTCACTAGCTCAGCAAAGAAGATCAAAAAGAATCAGCTGTAGCCTGCTGCAGCTGTAGCTTCAAATCTTCCACTTCAGCTTTCAGCCCACCTCAATGTTGCAAAATTCTCACGGCTAAGCGTCAACTGCATCAACCCTATCTGCTAGCATCCATGGAGCGCTGCCAAGACACTAGAACTTGCCAGAAGATGCTTTGCTTCTTGACACTTTTCCTCAAATTCATCCTGCACACCTCAGGAATGTGAGCGCCGTTTCGTGAATCAAATTCTGGCTTGAAAGCATCAAAAGTGACCAACCTAAAAACGTCCACGCGTGTGACCCAAAACATTGAACGGAAAATTCCTTGAGCCACAGCACTGGTCAGCTTGATGTTAAGTTCAACGTGCTCTTTACGAACTCGTCGAAGTTCTTCCTCCAGTTCCAACTCTCGATCAGAGTTTCCAAAAAATATATCGGGCTCTACATCTTTGTCAGTGGCCGTTGCTTCATCAAATTGTTGCTTTAGCTTCTCAAAGAGCTCTCTTTGATTCAGAAGGCTTTTGCGGCCATCCTCATTGAGCATGATTGATGGCCTGTTGCTGGCTGCGGGAGGTGCAGCACGGGATTCAATGCGAGATAGCAGCTCAGATCTGAGCTGATCCAGGGAGTTGGCACGTTCAGATCCTATGTCCCCTCTTTGTTGATCAAGCTCCTCTTGTAACAATTTTAGTTGTCTTTGACTTTGCTCCAGCTCCGCCTCAGCAGCTGCAGCTCGAGCTCGCAGTTGTTGCAGTTCGGCACTGGATTTATCTGAACCTTTGAGTTTGGCTGTCACGGCCTCTTCCCGCAACTTCGCAGTATCCAACTCGCCTTCCAAGTGGATCTTTTCCAATTTCAAATCACGCAATTCGTTGCGAAGACCTACCTCTGCTTGAGCTCGCTGCTCAAGTGACTGCTTCTGAGCTTCTAAGCGTTGCAGCTGGATCTGCAGGTCGTCGTTGGCGGATTTTAGGACTTGTACCTCTAAGCAATCTGCCTCCAATTTGTGGTTCCTCTCTTCCGCAGATGCCAATTGAGCTGCTCGTTGTTCCAGCTGCATTTCCATCGACAGTTTTGAACCCTTCAATTTGGAGCACTCTTCTCTGAGTCGTGTTGCTTCTTCGGCAATCGTTGCATATTCTTCAGCTGTTTTGCTCGTAGCAAGCTCCACTTCCAGCCGGACCTTCTCTCTCCGGACCTCTTGGAGCTCTTGTCGCACTGCCTCAAGATCACTGGCCAGGCTTGGATCTGCCTGAACCCCTAAGGGTCTACTCTCAAGCTCCCCTTGCAAACGAGCATTCTCCTTGCGAAGTTGTAACAGGTCTTGCCGCAGCTTGTCTTCTTGACTTGCTGTCTGCTCTTTGGACCTAATCGACTCTTCATGCTGTCGCCGTTGAAGCTTTTGCTCCTCCTCTCTCTGGGCAGCTTCAGATTCCATCTTCTCTCGCTCTGCAGCCATTTGCTTCTGCATATCAGCCAGGGCTTTCTCTCTTTCCTGCCCTGATTTTCTTGCCTCATCAAGGGCCTTCTTCCTCTCTTCTTCCTCTCGCAATTTTTGGATTCGCTCAGCGGCCAGCTTTCCTTTTAGCTTCCCAATTTTCCTCCGACAAAGCCACCCTCTGCAAATAGTCCTTGCATAGCTAGGTTCTTGCTGCCAGTGGTTCACGAAAAAAATCGAAAAAAGGCTGGTCCAATGACTGTGACTCAGCTGTGAAAGGTCTTGCAAAATGAATATGTAATATGACTCAGCTGTGTGGTGATTGTGGCGTGTGCCCGACTGCAGGCAGTCAATTCGGCCAAGTTTCTGCACCTTGATGGCGCCTGATCGCTCCTTGATGAACTGCAGACGTTGTGACAGCATTCTCAGAGAGGCTTGAAGAGTAACCTGAGCGCTGAATTGCAGTCTTCGCATGCCAAGCACCATGCAAACGCACGTGCATGCTCTAAAGTCTAAAGCCCCAGTGCATAAACCAAGAGAGAGAGAGAGAGAGAGAAAAAAAAAAACAGTCTCGAGATACGTTTCTTCCATTTTCAGCCCTCGCTCTCGTCCATGCAGGAGGCTGAGAGAGCCAAAACTGGACATATTGTAGGGCAGCAATAAGGCGGTTTACCGGTTTACCCGCACAATGTGAAGGGGACTACTTCTTCGACGGCTATTTCCAGCCGAGAAGCGCAGGCTTTGTTCTGGTAAAGGTTCCTTCGAAACTCCGCTGCTGCTTTCAAAGTTCGCAACAATGCTTGCATCTGCAGGGCCGCTTGCTTCATGGCACCTGGATTGCGCCCATGGGTTCTAATATGTTCTACTCCATCTTAGCCAAATCTACCTTCAAAAGTCCAATTTCTTGCTGCATCAAGCCACGATAGCGGCGCTTTGCGCGAAATCCACGCCAGCGTTTTTGAATGCGGAGGACGAAGACCTTTCAATAGGGCGGGTCCAGGGTTCAGAACCATGGATTGGAATCAATTTATTGATTTTATCAAAATTTATTGATTTATGGATATTTATGGACTCTAGCAGCGGCATTGCTGCGGCTAGCAATCCATTTCAAGTCTCAACTTGGAAAGCTGACAGCCGCATCGCCTTCACAGCCTCGCCAATGGCCTTCTCGAGCCTTGCTTGCACCTCCTCCTTCCTGGGATGCAAAGAAACCACTGCAGTGCCTCCAAAGAACAAAACTGACAAACTTCCGACAAACCTCACAAAACCCGAAAGACAGCACCCTTTCCCCATCCAAAGTCAACAGTGCCAACAAGAAGCAGAAAGACTTTGCTTCGACCAATCTGCCAGGATTTCGGCTCCTCCATCGATCGTGATGCCATGCCACGGGAAAAGCCGCAAAGAATCAAAGGTATGAGTAGAGATATGTAGATATGGAGATATATAGAGATTTGACGATATGGACATATGGAAATATAGAACAAGATGAGACCAGTGGATTTGCCACTGCAGCAGAGTCGCGAGTCCCTTGATCTTGGCCTCAGTGAAACTATGGTACGGTATGGTGGAAGAGAGTTCAACCTCTGGCGCCTGCTGACCATCGGAATCCATTCAAATGTCCCAGTAGCACACTGCATCACACTGCTAAAGAATCAACTGATTGGACGGTCAAGCCGGAGCCGGGCGGAGATAGTTCTCTGGTGGGTTTGCTTGACTTGTATCATCCTGTGAACAAATTGATCCTTGTTCTGGATATCCTTCGGTTGTAGTTCCCTATGTGCTGATAGTCAGAGCTGTCAAACCATGCAGCAGCGGAGCGCGTTATTTTGGCCTCGCAGTGGGTCTTGAGCCATAGTGGCGTCCCATGCAAGAATGTGCACATGCTCAGCATGTGTGACTACTGTGTTATCTCGTTCCCCTTCGCGCCCCCCATGCCTATGGCATCTTCGAACCATAGGCACGAGAGTGGGAACTTTGAATTAGATTCTTCTGCTACTCGAATTACGCCTATGTACATAAAACATGCCATTTGGCTCCCCCTTCCCCACATACCCGTCGGGAATAATGGTTCAGGGTTCGCCTACTCTTTGGCTGTCGATGCATCGGCGCTTCCTCAAGCTGTACAACGCGAATTATTGCTAGCTAACATCTACTTTTCTACGTTGGCTAAGCATGCCACTCACCCGTCGGGAGAAATGGATCGCCTCGCTACCAAAGATTTACAATGCTAACTAACGAATTCACGTGCACAATGCAGAATCTCGTGCAGATTGGGAATATCAAAAGTCTTGAACCTAAGCGAATTAGTCTAATGCCTCGCTCAGTGTCCACTCAGTTGGTCTTTTCCTGATCATCTGTTCATAAAGACGGTAAACATCTTGTAGCCCAGTGATCATTTTGACGGATCGAAGCAATTGGTTTACTGCTCACGGCGGACTTTCTTCCATTGAGGTGCTGTTGGAGTTCTCTCCCATCCTGCCGCACGTTTCGGAGCAGCTTTCGGCGATGAAGGCTTTGCAGGCGGTGCCTTTGATGGTTCATGGGATTTCGGCATAGCCTTGCCCTTTGGTGCGCTAGCCGATGAGGATGATGCTGAACCAGTGCCTTCAGGTGTCTGTGAAGGTTGTGCGGGTGGTTTAGCAAACTTGGAAGCTGCAGTATGTCCAACCGCTTTGAATACTTCACTCACCACTTCGTCGCCAAGGGTTGGAGCCATCTTCGTTTTCATCTCGGTCTTTCCCCTCTGCGCCTCGGCCTCGGCCAGCTGAATAGCATAAGCCATCTTGCTGACAAAGTTTTGAGGTAAAGGAATGCCACATTGTTGGGCGGCAAAGAGCAGTTCTACTCTCTGTTCTTTCTCCCTCAGGCTCAGATATACCGAGAAAGCTGGGAGTTCGATGCAGTTGGGGAAGCCGTGGCTCCCGGAGCGAAAGAAGGTGTATGACTCGTGCTCCGGAAAGGTTCCTTTGAGCAGTCGTCGAAGGAAATTGCTGATGGTTACTCGCATCTCCTGTTTCCCTTGGGCATCAGCCTGCATTCGGTTCATTGGCATGAGAAAGCCTAATGACTCAGGAGTGTACCCGGCGCGTACCAGAAATTCCATCATCTTCTCATAGATCTCTAAAGTCTTGATGACAGGCATCATCATGTTTCTTGGTCGCCCTGAGTATAACTTCTCTCCTTCTGACCATGAATTCCTCTTCCCTTTCTCCTGAAAGAGTTCATCCAACTCCAGCTCCGTCGGGCGCTTGAGGTTGCCATCCTGGTCTTCTCCTGTATAAGGACAGAAGTCGTCCAGGTCCAGCCGGACTCGCTTGGTTTCCGTCATCATCTCATAGTACTCCTCTGGGGTCAGAGTGACTCTCTGTTTGTAGTAGAGCCTGAACATTGTGATGATCTTTGACATGACGGCATTGTCATACAAGTGAGCCGCGGCCTCGGAGACATCATTGTTGATAAGTCCGTCTTCTGGCATACCCTTGCTGCCGCTCTCGAGGTTCTTGGTCCATGCTGGAAGTTTGGAAGAGGGTTCATCTTCAGGTTCGACTTCCATTTCATCGTCGTCTTCTTCAACGATTTCGTCGTCTTCCTGTTGGGCTTCCTCCTCCTGATCCATTTCCTCATCATCGCCTTCGTTGTAGTCGACCTCGTCAGGATTGAAGCCATAGTCGTTGGATTCGGATACGTTTTCTTGTGCTTGATGGACCGTATCCTTGAACAACGATTCTTCTTGTCGACGAACTTCTTCATCGATCTCTTTCTTCGTGGCCTCATCTTCATCGTCTTCAGGAGCTTGTAGCCGATAGGGACGGATTCCACAACTTTCAAGTTCCGTCCAGCAAACTAGACACACTGCTAGTTTTGTCGGCGTCTCATTGAGACAGTGAGGACAATGGCGGCAACCTGATGTTTGCACCCTTTTGCGTTCGACTATGTAGTCAATCAGCTTGATGCGGGCCAGGTATTGCTCTTGTCCGCCAGGCTCGATGAGGTTGTTCTTGAATTGGTTGACGATGTTCATGGCATCCATGGCGGTTTCGTCAAACGGTTGATCTTCGGCGTCGATGCACTGACTTGCAACCCTCAAGATGGACTCCTTGGTGGCTACCGTTCTTGATTTGATAGTTCCAGACCGGACTACCTGGTCGTCGCCCGACGGGACGAACAACCGGAGCCATGTCTTATTGTTTTGGTCCTTTGGGTCCTGAATCCATCCTCCTTTGATTGCCGAGAACGGGATGATCTTTGGTGAGACGATCTGTCCCGAGTCAGTCAGTCGACCGCCATATTCCACCATCAAGGTCTCGGTCGGGACGAACAAGCAAATGTAGTCCCCTCTTCGCGTATCAACGCTCTTCGTGATGGTCCATGATCTGTGATCCCATGGCACATACGGGTTGAAGAACGTGAACATCCGATGACCTTCTCCAAGACCTCCTGGAATCAATCCCTGCCTCCAAATGCTTCGAAGGTTGGTCTTCTTGGTGATGTGGAAACAAACCGGTAACGACAAAATGGTGTTGGGCGCGATTGGATGTGAAAGTAATGAGGACAGCAATGAGACGTCGTCCCTTGAAGATCCTTCTTTGTGCCCCGTAGGAGCACGGACCGCCACAGGGTAGAGCAGTAGACCTTCATCAGGAATGTTCGTGTCCGCATCGACTTTGTTGTCAATGCACGTCAGGCTGGTGCGCTCAATGTCCTTGTTGATACCAAATGCCAAGACTTGTTCACGAACGCGACGTCCATACCGGGCACAGTGGAACATGATCTTGAAGAGCAATGTCATGCGGTAGTTTGCCTCATCGACATTCCATGCATTCTGATCATTTGCTCTTCCTTTTGGAGCAAGGAATACATGTGGCCAGCGTGCGTACTCGTGCCTCCAGATGGACTCACATTTGAGCACCTCCTCGATGGGCACCCAGCCGGCGTCATCACATGACAGACTCTGTTGTTCTGATACCTTCCCCACGTTGTGCCGCAGGATCCTGTTTAGTGATGAACTCACCTTGTCCTCGTAGGTATTGAGCCGGTTGCCAGTCTCGAAGCGGTAGTTGGCCGCATATTCTACACCTCCAAAGTAAGAGCAGTTGAAGAAATGGGCCCCCGTAGTCGGGATGATTTTCAAGAAACCATCTTGCGGCGCCTCGACTCTCTTGTAGAAGGGCTTCCTGATGTTGTTATCAGAGTAGCTTGCCATGAAGTCTGGCACTGACCAAGAGTCACCTCCTCCTCTGACAATAGCGTCTCTGACCACTTCGTTGAGGTCAACAATGTTCTGTGGTCCTAGCTTTGTAACATCACGTCCTTCTATGCAGAATCTACCATACTCATCGAGGTCACCAACTTCGGACATAGTTCTGATGCTGTCGTACCATTGGTGTTCACTAAACCTCGATTTTGTAGGTTCATCCGTTTGCCCCGACCCATCAGTAGCACCTGAACCGTCCTTCTTGTGCTCAGGAGGCTCCATATCGACGTCATCAGATGTTGGACTATCAGCCTCGAGCGACGCTCGGACGGCCTTTAGCACCTTTCTGACTTCATCCCTCTTCTCATGTTCACATTCAAGATGGCCATGTTGGGTGCTACCACAATACAAGCACACGTTGACATCCTCAGAGACGGTAAAGAGTTTTCCCAACGCATCCAAAAGTTGTTGTTTCCCGGAATTCTCTGAGTCCCTGACCACATCGGTGGGGTCGTTCGCTGGCTCATCAGCTTCCTCCTCCCCAGGGTGAGCCGACGACTCGTCACCTGGCTTGGCATCGGCATCAGTGCCCATGCTGGCGTCACCCCCTGTGATGTTGTTCTTCCTGCGATAATGAGAGAATACCTGATCCTTCTCCCAGTCCGTGAGGCAGCAGAAATTGGCCAGCGAGTCATATCCGGGGATTGCGTGGATGAGCTTCATGACCCTTTCGGCTTCTGCAGTTTGCAGTGTGCAGTCGAAGGATCCCCGTCTCTTGTCATTGATGGTGCTCGAGGTTCGGGAGGTCGATGTGAATTGAGCCAGTGCCTTTTCCAGTCCATTGAGATACTCAGCTGGATCAACGCTAGCATTGAAAACATCCACGACTCCCTTGGCCATATTGGCCACGTCCAAGACACCAAGCCAGAACTCGATGATATCTCCAGTTTTCTCGGCAGATGCACGGGAGAATCCAAAAATCTCGTTCCTCTCCTTCACCTCGGGAACGGCAACCTTTTCGAAGAAGTCTTTGTATGCGACATTTCCGCAATCCTTTGTGACTCTATAGATCAAGAGCCACTTCTTTGCAACATCATCGAAAACTCTTTCGCGATATATGCTGAATTGCTTGCCGCGTCCGTTCCGGAAAATTTCCAGAGCTTGCCTCTTCGAAATTCTGACTCCTCC